GTACAAATTGAATAATGGCATGCTCAGTTGAACTATCTTTTTTGAAGCCGAATTGATTATTGTATAGTAGGTTATTGTAATTAAAATAATTATTAACTCTGTTAAACATAATTCTTTCTAGGATTTTGGAGAATACAGATAGGATAGAGATGGGGCGGTAATTATTGATATTGGATCTGTCGCCTTCTTTGTGAATTGGAATAATTTTAGCAATTTTTAAGCGCTCAGGGAAAATTCCTTGTTGGATGGATGCTTTGTAGATTTTAAAAAGAATATTTTTTCGCTTGTAGGAGTTTTTGTTTTTAGGTATTTTATATATAACATTTGCTTAGTTTTTGATGATTTTTTAAAACCTTTGGTAACCCAAGGATTATTTATGTTTTAAGTTTTTAATGTATGAGTAACATTAGGAAAGTTAGAATCGTAAACCGAAAAAAAAGAAATTTTCAAAAAGATTATTAGCGTTATCATTAAAGTTTAAATGTTTCCAATGCAGTAGCGATAGTTGGTTTTTAAACAATTCAATTTTTGATTGATTAAAAATACGTTTAGTTAAAATTTTGTTAGGTTTTTTTACATTTGCTTGGTTAGTCAGTATAGTCAGAAAAATAGGAAAGTAATCCGAGATATCTGTTTTTAAGATTCCTTTTTTTATATCATTATTAAAGATGTCTGTTGTAATGATATTGTCTAGTAAAGTTGCTGAGTATTTTGTCACTCTCGTCGGGCGATTTATTAATGGAAAAGCTCCAGCCTCAAAAATTGAATCATAAAAGTTTCTAACTTTGTTGTTATCATTATATATAAAACAATTCATATTAAAGTCTCCAATAAGAAAAATTTTTTTATTTTTATTATTTCCTTCTTTAAAAACGTTTTGTAGTAAAAACATGCTCAAGTTTTCGGCCACACCATCAGGTGGTCGATAACAGCAGCTTAGAAGAATGTTTTTTGTTTGTTCAATTATTATTTCAATGGTTAAAAGTTCTCCATCGCCGTTAGAAATACTAAGATCGTTTCTTAGACAATGCCTAATATTTCATGAACGTATATTAGAACTCCGCCACCGCGCTTATTAGTTTGCCTTTCAAGTGAGATTATTTCAAAATGAGGAAGATGAAAATTAGAGTCATTAATTAAATCGTTTGCAGTAGCCCAAGTTTCAGTTAAACAAATTATATTAAAAGTGTTTTTTGTTTCTTTAAGTAAATTTTGAAGTTTTTCAAAATTGCAATTAATGCTTCAAGTTTTAACGTGTAGAATTCTAATTTGATATAAGTTTTTATTGCTAATATTGTTAAATAAAAACCCTTCTACTTCCCAGATTCTTGTGAGGAGGAGGCATCCAGGGGTATGAGGATATGCTCCCATATCGCTGGATCCGTCATTGAAAGTAAGAATATTTTGTAATTAAAGTTTCTATATTTTCTTTTGTTTAAAATGTTTACAAAACATTTGTCAATGGCTTTAAATACATTTCATGTTGATATCACAATGCTGACGAGCCGGGTTTAGAAGTGGAGGGGCACAACCACCAATTTTTAAAAAGAACTCCTTAAAAAAAAGAATTAGTTCTTTTTTTTTTTTTTACTTTTATTTTAACAATATGATAATAATCTAAACATATTATAAAAGAACATAAAGGTAAAAAAAACTATTTTTCCGAGATGGTTTTGAATTCGATTAAATATATAGAAAAAACGATGAAGCTGTCATAAATGAAAATCTTGAATATCGTTTTTATCCACACTCAGTAGAGATTTTCGTCTTTTCATTTTTTTAAAAAAACCAATTATCTATTTGTATTCAAATGCAATACTTTTTTAATCTTTACACCATATTATTTTTGTGTAAAGTGTCACTTGGAAATTACTATTTGTCAAACTGTGAGTCTGACAAATATTATTTGTTAAACTTATTTGTTAAACTATATTATTTTAGTAAGTTTGTACAATTTAAAAATTTTCTAAAATTGATTGTTTGTAAAATTCAAAATTGAACGTTGGTAAAAGCTGAAATTTGGTAAAATCCAAAATTGAAAGTTGGAAAAATCCAAAGTTAGAAAAAAAATTAGTTCAATAATAAAAAAAAAATTTAATTAATTACTAAAAAGCATATGTCTTTTGTTGTTGTTTAGATTTGTACAATTTAAATATAAGAAATGACTTAGTTCCCTTACTTTATTGAAGTAAAAGGATTTTTGGTAAGGATTTGTGAAATATTGTTTTAAAATACCTAAATAACATGAATTTAGTTTCAAAGTTAGGAGCAAAGATACGATGAAGCTAATTTTGTCTAACACTAATGACTTTTCTGCTCATATTCTAAATATAAGCTCGAAGGCACTGTACACACTTTGTCATAGTTACCGACAAAGCTTGTCACTTTTGAATCATATGACATCTAGTCTATTAGTTCTGTTACTGTTTGTTAGTTATATAACATTAAGTTATTCTTGATGTCATTTGGGAACCATGGTAACAATATTTTTGTCTTTTAGTCATAGACTAGTTTTTAATAAAAAAAAATTTTCTTGTACTCTTATAAGGGGGGGGGGGGGGTATTTAAAATACTCTATCATGTAATAAGTTTTTAAAAATTTTGAAAATAATAGAATATTTTAAATACCCCATAGGGTATGAATATTTTAAATATGTCTTTTAAAATAAAAATTTGGGGATTTTCTTGTACTCTTATTTTTTTCAGTAAAAAATTTGAAAACTTAATATAATATTTATATACAACTTAATACATAATAGAATATTTTAAATACTACATGAGGTATGAATATTTTAAATATGCTATATTCTATTATGTATTAAGTTTTCAATGTTTTTGTCTGTTTTTTGAAAAAATAAGAGTATGACATACCTGTGCGGGGTATGTCACGAATATGACATACCCCCATCCCCACACATACCCATATAATAGCCTTGCTTTGATGCTTTTCGTCAAGAAAAAGTTCCTAATACAATCTAATTAACAAATTTTGTATAAAGAACTTTATAATATTCTAAGTTTTTAAAGAAGTAAAAATTGTAAACACTTTATACAAATAAATATACACTCCCGCTTATCTTTTTAATGAAGTACATATACACTCCCGCTTATCTTTTTAATGAAGTAAATATACACTCCCGCTTATCTTTTTTAATGAAGTAAAAATAAGTCTCTGAATAAGACTTTTTTTTCAATATTGGAAATATAAGTATTTCCTATATGGAAAATGGGCGATTAGCGAACTACCGAGAAGAAAACTTTAGAGATGTGTATACTTTTACTTTCATGTTTTTATTAGTTGCTTCAATTCTCTTATAACACTTTTTTCTTTTTTACCCAAAACATTCAAATTTTACACCCTAGCATTCATATTTCCCACCCCAACATTCATATTTCACACCCCAAAATTCATATTATACACCCCAACTCATTAGAGGCAAAAGGATAGAGTAAGATTGTTGTCTTTAATTAATGTCTTTACTTATTTTTGGTTAAGGATAGTAAGAGGTCAACTTTTAATGAAAAAACACTCAATCCTTTTTTGTAAAACAGTTTAAAATTAGAAAGAAATAAAGATGTAAAAAAGTGTTTTATTTACCACTGTTTGTAACACTCAATAAATGTCCTTTAAAAGTTCCTTTCACCTTATTAATTACAAATATCAAACAAAATACTCTATCAAGAACTACTATATTCCGAAAACCTCTTTAAGACAATCTAAATTCTCAATATCCAGCAGAGGACCCCAGTTGTGGAACTCATTTCTAACAAACAAAAAAAAATAAACTCATTCCAACATTTTAAATGCGTTGTAAAGCAACAGCTACTAGACCTCAACATTAATCAAACAATCTCTTATTTTTAAAATTTTTCCTTTTTCAATTAAAAAGTTTTTTTCTTTCACTTTTTCTTGAAATTCTTTTATATTACTTGCTTGGTTATTTAATGAAGTTCATTGTAAAAAGAAAAAAAAAAAAAAAAATCACATGTATTATAAATATTTTATTATATTTGTATTTGGTTTATATTTTATTATATTTTGTCAACGACAAAAATGGGGCAAGATGATAAGACTATTGTCTTCTACTTGCTCCAGTCATATATTTCACGGTAAAATGTTGTACAAATTTATATTAATAATGAAGAAATATATATATATAAAAAATAATCATAATAAAAAAAAGTCTTAGCAATAAATCGTTAAAAACCAATGGTTAGATGTCGTTACACCGGGCAAGCCAAATTATTTTTCAAAATATTTTTCAAACTAATAAATGTTTAACATACTCTATTCAAAGTATTGTTTAACAGTCCATAATAAATCACCCCACTCCCACATAGAGGAAAGAAAAAATATGGTGCCACAATACTGTTAGTGAGTTAAATTTCTTCATCCTAACCAATGTCGCTTAGTGGACTAAAGACGTCATTAAATCTCAAAACCTTTGGTTCTGAGCTAGAACTCTAGCCACCGCCCCACAGCTTTTTAAGTCAGTATTGTTATTCTTATCCTGATTGTATCATTTAATTATATATTATTTTTATCAACTGTTTATAATGGTTTTGAAATAAACTTTGATAAAAATATATATTTATATATTGTAATAAAAAACTGTTTGTAATTATACAAAATTACTTGTAATTATAAAAAACAACTTGTAGCCAGAAGCAATTCTACAAATAAAAAGATGGTGGGGGGGGGGGGGGAGAATCTTTAAAAAGTAACTCGTAAAAAAACCGAAAATCACCACACACAATCCCCCCCCCTCCACCACCACCACCACCACACACACACTCCGCCTAAAATTGCCTCTGCTTGTAGCTATACATAATAACTTGTAATTATACAATATTTATAATTATAGAAAATTACTTGTTGAATAAATACTTAAATACGATCATGTGAAAAAGTAATAAAAAAGATAAGATATGTTAATAACTATATTAAAGAGAAAAATATCAAAATCAAGTTTTAAATTAAAAAGTAAAACACAACATACTTTGAAAAACTTCCTCTCAAAGACCATCTTCGAAGCTCATCAGTTTTTACACTGCTTTTTCTCTCAGTAGATTTTATTATCTGGGAATCTCTTTCATTAGACCTTTTTAACTGGTAGTCTCTTTCGGTCCAACTTTTACTATGTGAATATAAGTCAGAAGACTTTTTAAAATGGGAATCTTGATCGTAACAAAATGCAGGATCTTCACTTTTTGATATTCGGTCGCGCTCTATCACCAAGTTTGATCCCATGCGTCCTACTCAAAAAAAAAAAAAAGTCTCAACGCCATACAAACTAATATTAATCATTAATTGACATCGCTGATATGACAAAGTTAATTTTTACCTCTTTCAATAGATCTTTTTAACTGGTGATCTCTTAAGGTAGGTTTTTTAACTTGGGAATGCGTTTCCGCAGACTTTTGAACATAAGAATCTTCTTCATGACACGAAACCTTTTTTTCAATTTTTGCTTTTTGATCAAGATCTTTTGCCAAGTTTGTTCCCATACCTCCTATCCAAACGCAGATTGTGAGATATGATTTTTTTTTCAACAGTATTAATTACAAATAATTCATATTATTAATAAATGATACAAATAATAAGTTTGCAAGTTCAAACCTAAAGAAAATTATAAAGAATTTCATCTATCAAGACATAATTACATTACGCCTTTAAAACAAAGATGCTTTACTTAAAAATAATCTTTGAATTTCCGTAAATTTTTTAGTTGCGCAAGGTGTACAAAAGCATAGCTTGCATTACTTTATTAGAGTCTAACTTTTTTTTATTTTTTATTTTTTTCAAACTCACGATTTGAAAAAAACGAGTAATAAAGTTTCAATTGGGGCCTGTAAAATTAAAAAAAAAACAAATTTGTATAACACTTTTAAACAACCTATCAAAAATAAATTATAATGATACCATAAATTGTTATATTATAATTATATGTAAAGTTCCGAGAGGTAAATATTGTTAAAACAAAAAGATACGCAATGAATATTAAAAAAAAAAACTAACAGTTATTTTAAAAAACTTAAACTGGTTTAAAAAATTGCCCAATAGCAACTTTTATATATCGAGTTTTATATTAACAAGTTTTTGCCACAAATCATTTTTCTCACATCGACAGATCATTTATTGCCAGACAGGTTTTTGTTAGTTAACTATTTTGTTTAAAACAATGTAAACTCAAAAACTATTTTAACAAACGAGTATCCAAAAAGAACCGCAAAAAAGCATAACCAAATAAATAGTAAAAAAGTATTAAAAAAAAGATAAAGCGAATTGCAAATTTAATATATATTAAGTGCAATAGATATAAGTTCTTTTTTACATTTTTTTAAACTTAAGTTTCAACAAAGTAAAAATTTTAAAACTTATTTTGTTACAAGGAAAAGAAACACTGAAAAAAAAACATGACTAAATGGTCGGCATTTCTAAACAAACAACGCGGTAATAAACGAAGAGAACGATAACCAACAAATAGAAACCAATAGAAATTTAAAGACAACAAAAGTCAATAAAGATTTTAATAATAGGTTGTTAATAATAGCTTAATTAATGGTAGAAATAAAACATTAGGATCGGGTTTATTAAATAAATGTTTTATCAAATTTGATTATTATAAATAATATCGTCATTCATTTTTTAAAAATTGCAGGTTTTTGTGCTATAGAATAGTTTTTAACAGTTTTTACAATAAAATTACTTCGCTATAAATATAACAAAAAAGGCAGAAAAAGGAATTCGAAATATTACAAATAAATCAATAAATTGTATGAAATGTAGAAAGAAAAAACCGTACTAGAAGAATTCCCACTTGGAGAATTAAATATAATACATTTGTTTCATTTGTTAAATCATATAACTCTATAAGATTAGAAATGAGGGGCATTCTTTAAAAAGGGTTGAGAATCTCTCTCCCTCTCACTTCCTCCTTAAAAGTTGTAACCTTTTAAAATTTTTAAATAATATATAAGGTTTATTTTTCTTGTTTCCGTTCATGAGGTTTTATTTTATTTGTTCATAAAGTTTTCTAAAAAGCTATGATTTTGGTTTCTTATATCCGTTCATATGATAGAAAAAAAAAAAAAAAAAAAAATATATATATATATATATATATATATATATATATATATATTTATATATATATATATATATATATATATATATATATATATATATATATATATATATATATATATATATATATATATATATATATATACATATACAGTGAAATTTTATCATTTGCTATTGGGCAGCGGTTCTTTTATTGGCCAGCTGCCAAATAATACTTGATAAAAGAACAATGGTATTGGTAACCCTGGTAACACTTTTACATCAAATATTACTTGGTACAGGGTTTTCAAAGGATTTATAGTCTCAGTTCCGTTCCGCAAATTATCTCAAAATTGTTTTGAAAAGTAAACATTTCTAGTATTTAAGAAGATTTGAAAAAAATTTGAGAAGCAGAATATATTGATATTACTTTGATATAAAATCTTTTTTATAAAATCTTTGTTATAAAATTTTTCCTAGCCAAATTTATCGCTAACTTAAGTTCGAAATGTTTATCTTACTAAACAATTTTGTGATAATTTACGGAACGGAACTGAAACTATAAACCCATGTATTGTCATTACAGTTTTTTATTTTAAGTTTTCTAATTTTTTTTATTGATTTAGGCCTGTGTCTAGAAACCTCAACGCTTCCCAAACAAGAGGGGGGGGGGGGAGAAGGGAAGAAGGTAGCGGTTTTAAAGAGTTCTTTTGAATTAGTTATACAATTAACGTATTTAGGATAAAACATTAATTTGTTGGTCACATTAGTTTTTTATTAATACGAGTTTAATACCGAGTGGGTATTAAATTCGTATTCATTTATACGACTTTAATTTATTTATGAAAAAAAATAATTATAAGTTATTCCGTATTTGAACTTAATTTGTAAATAAAATTTTGAAAGTAATTTAAAAATAAAAAAAACAAAAAACATAATATTGAATAAACGGAAATGTGGAAGAGTTCTTCTCTAAATAATTTATTAAACTAAATAATTTATTCGACAAATTAATTTGTTAAACGTAAATTATTCAAGATTTTTCAATTTATTTCTAGATAAAATGAAAAATTTAATTGGTAACTAAAGCGATTTTTAGGTTCAACAATTTGTGAGCACACAAACCCTAAAATCCTTTCAAAATTTTTCAAAATAAATTTTGTTACAAGTTCTATTTATTCTTATTTATGATTTTTATTAATATTTTTGTTTCCCAAAATATTGGTTTTTTATTTCGCTTAAAATTATTGTTTATTATTAGGGGAGACCGGGGCAAGATGACTATGTTAACAATTTAAGTTGTTTATTACTTTACTCTTAAGGATAGTAAAATTAATTTTACATGAAATGTTAGATTAACCATTTGTGGCATTAAATATATTACGATTTAATTATTCAAATGAAAGAAATAAAGGATAATATCATTTTTCCACAACCATATCAAATTTTCATCTTGCTCCAGTACCGGGGCAAGACGATTTTGACTTTGGGGCTCGATGACAACACTAAAAAAAAAAGTTGAACACATTTTTTTTTCTATTATGTTACATTGTTTAACAAATGATAAGTGTTGCAGCTATCGTTTTGCTTTAGACAATGGTTTTAAATCAAAAATACTGACAGGCTTTTTTAGCGCATTGGATTCAGCATTTGCAATAAGTTTTGGTTCTTCTGGAGGGTTTATAATTATTTTTTCTACTGTAAGGGTCTGAAAATTAGCACTATTATTCTAAGTTTCATCACCAACAACATCATGGTCGGTAGTTTTTGCAGCAGCAAAGTCATTTTCACTAAACACAAGCTCGTCATCTTGCCCCCGTCTTCTTGCCCCTGTTTTCCAATATTCGTTTTTATTGCCATGAAGGAAGGCAATTAGTTGACATTTATTCAATGTATTTGATAGTATTAGAATTAATTAAGTTCAAAATATGAACGATAGACAAAATATCTTACTTGTTTCGGCAGCAGAGCTTATTTACACATGCATAAAAGTTATAACGTGTCAGCAGTAAACAATCAAAGCTTCACAACTAATACAGCGCCTTTATACTATTTTTTAACAAACAGCCTAAAGGAGAGTTAGTAGTGTCCGATTAATGCTGCCACCTAGTAAAAAAATGAAGCTTAATGACATTTTTCATCTTGCCCCGTTCGTCATCTTGTCCCGGCCTCCCCTACCTTTTTTTTGTCAAAATTTTGCTCAAAATTTGCACTACATAGTTACATTTAAATTTAATATCACTTTTAAACAGCCTTCTTATTTTACTTCCGTCTATAAACAACATGCTGTGTTAAATGTTTTTTTTCTTTTGTAAAAATAAATTTACAAAAGAAAAAAAAATTCTTAAGTATTCAAAGAGGAGGCGGAGTGATTGCTACTGTTGTTCCCATTTATAGACCCGGTCTTGGTTTATTCCCAGTATAAAAAAGTTCCTTTTATACACTATTTAAGCATATAAACATGGCGGGTTGACCCCTAGCTATGGCCATTATACATCAATGTTTTAGGTGCTTTTTGTTTAAAAAAAACTACAAAAAAATTAAATAAAACAACAATTAAAAAAAAAATTATTCCTAAAACTATATAACGCATAAATTCATACATTAACTGATATTAGACCGGGTGAAAAAAAAAAAAGAACAATTGCTTTTACTCAGTAATTGGTCAGCTTTACGTGAATAAAAACTTTAGCAAACTTCAGTTTATCCTTATTAGAGAAAAAGGTGGATTTTTTTTCATAGTTTTAAAAAAATTCTTGCTTGTGTTTCAAGACTGTTTCTATATACTGCTTTTTAATTGAAAGACCCTTCAACTTCTTTCAATGTAATTGTCTCAGCAAAATCTTGCGAAAAGTCTTTTTTATTTTAACTGCTGCAGTTTAATAAGAATCTAATTCACTCCGTTGAATTTTTAAGTATCCAATTAAAGATAGGATGCTCTCTAATAGGAAGTACAACTTCTGAAATTCTCAAGATCTTTGGCTTCTTTATTGTGTTTCAAATTTTTTTGCTTCAAGTGCTTTTTGTTTAATTAGTGTCATCTTTCAATAAGCGCCGGCGCGGTTAAGCGTCATGGGGGGGGGGGGGTATAAGGGTTGCTATTACAACTTTTGCTGACAAAAAAAAAGCGAAGTTTGCTTTTTGAAATTTGCCCATTGACTGGTCTAAAAGGTCTCCATTTGTCGAGAGACTTTTCTAAAAAAGTTAATTTTGCCGACTTTGCTTTTAATATTCTTTGTGATATTTAACTTTTTTTAAGTCTTATTTAAAAAAAAAAAGATAAAGCGAATTGCAAATTTAATATATATTAGGTGCAATAGATATAAATTCAAAAAAGATTTTCAAATTTTTTTTTACTATTTTTTTGTAACTTGAATTTCAACAAACTAAAAATTTTAAACCTTATTTTGTTTCAAGGAAAAAAAACCAAACGGTCGGCCCTCTGTAAGTTGTTTAGAATTCGGATTGTTTTAGCAAAGTTTTTGGTACCTGACAATTAAAGCGACAATATATTTAACTTTTTTTATGTACGACGGACGGACCATTGGATTTTGCAAAGTTTTAAAAATATGTTATGTTTTTTGGGTATATCAACAAAATTCATTGATAATTTAATAATAAAAAAGTCGCTGAGCAATTCCACAACCTTGGTATCATTATTTATTTTTTTTGGGATTTATTTTCTTCACCTTTATAATAAATCATTAACAATATTTTTTTGAGTTAAGATGTGAGTGGAGCAGGCAGAAAATAAAAATCTTATCATCCCGCGTTGTATCATTTCGGGGAGAATGTGTATGAAAAAGCCATGTTTTGAAAGAGCCGATGCCATTATATCTAACTTACAGGCACCCGACCATATTTGTATTTTACTTTTTGTGTGGCAACGCTAATACCTGTCACCCACAACAAATTTAGAGTTCTATTAAAATAAATAGCGTCGTAAGGGTGCACTATATTTTGAAAATAAAAATTAAATATTTTGAAAATAAAAATTAATTTTTTTTGGGTTTACTTATTTATTTTTGAGATAAAGAGAATTGTATTATTTGATGAAACATATATGCTGCATTTCATATATTTATGTATTCTTCTTTTCCTCAAATAATATATCATATAAAAAAAATATTACAGTCTCAGTAAAATAATATTAAATAATTTTAAATAATGCTATTTTTTTTTTTACAATACAATACAACTTAAGATAAAAAAATCAATAAAATTTAAAGAAAAGTAATGATGTAAAAGGTGATGTCGCTTTTAAATAAAAGGAAAAGTTGAAAAATAAAAAAGAACAAAATAAAAATTCAAAATAAAATGGTATTTCAGATACGTCATAATCAAGTAACTGTTTATTTAAGACTTTCAAAGGTGTGGATTGAAGTTGTAGTTTTACTATTATTTGGGAGAAATAAATTCCACAAATGTGGCCCTCGGTAAGTTATTGAGGATTTGGATTGTTTTAGCAAAGTTTTTGGTACCTGATAATTATGCAACAAATGCTTTGTTTGATATTTATGATCTATAGCAAAGAAAAGGTCTTTAAAAGTATATGATATTATAATCTAAACATGAATATAGGAATATTATAAATATTTAATTTGTAAACATACAGCACTTCAAGCTTTCTTAGCAGTGGATTGGAACTGGTGTATTTATTAGCATTTAATATAAGGCTTTTTCAAGGTACACTTTAGTTTTGACGATTAAGTGCTTGTCCATTCAATGTTACAATAACTAATATAGCTATGAATAAATGAAGTAAATAGATTTTAAGCAGTTATCCATTATATATCTAGTTTTATACATAATTCCAAAATTTTTTGAAATTTTATATCTACTAAATTAATTTCATTAAGGTTATCAATTTCATGATTCATAGTGGTACAGATTGTCTTATTAGAGTGAGTATAAAAAACTAAATTGTCGTCAGCAAAAAGATTGAATATTAGTATACTAGATAATAAGTAAACATCATGGTCAAAGGCCTTTGAGAGGTCAATAAACACTTATATTGGTTGTTTTCAAACCCATTTAATATTTCTTTAACTAATTTAATTACTGCATGTTCTGGCAAAGCCATTTTCTAAATCCGTACTGATTATTATCTAGAACTTTGTGAATTGTGAGATATTTGTAAAGCCTATTATGCATTATTTGCTCTAGAATTTTAGAAAAACATAGTGGTATTGAAATAGGTCTGTAAATAGATTACTTTGAGATATCACCATCTTTAAATATTGGTACCACACTAGCTAGTTTCAAAAGGTCAGGAAAAACTCGATTTTTAAATAAAAGACTAAAAATAATAAATAATGGGTATTCAATAATATCAAAAACTTTTTTAACGACCCTAGGGTATATACCAATCTATCCAAATGGCAGCTGTTTAATAACCAAAAAAAAAATCGTAGTCAGACTGGGAACAACATTTCATAATATCCACACCACTTTTTAACAAAAATAAAAGTTAAATAACTTCACCCAAACATTTTCTGTGTAATACAAAACTGGAATGAATTACAAAAACTGTCAAAAAGGCGTCAAATATTTATTATTGAAAACTATTTTTAACATTTACATTTATATAATATTTAAATATCTAGAAATGTTAGTTAATTTACATATGTGCAATTAGGGGTTAAGTTTTACAACTACACTAATGTATTTGGCATCTCTTTAATTCTTTGGCTGAGTTTCTATATTGCTCAATATGCCTTGCCAAAAATCTATTAAAAAAGATTTTAGTATTCTAAGCTTTTTTTCTTTGTAGATGGAACTCATTATGTCATCATTTGCCAAACTAGACTAGACTTTGTCTCTCAGAACAAAATAATATTTTGTACTTGTTTAAGCTAATATTTTCTGCGTGGCGTTCATTGACTTAGTTCATAGACTTAAAAAAAAAAGTTCTAATATTTTAAAAACCATTTTAAAAGTTGCTTGTTTATCCCTTTGGGCACAAGACGTAAAAAAAGACGTCTTTTAAATATCTTTTGAACGTTTTGGAAGTTTTTTGAACGTCCAAAAAACGTCTATTTCAGGTCCTGTGCCCAATGGGATGTTGCTCTAAAGATTCGTTATTGAACAACCATTTTGCGTACGAAGTAACTACTCATGCGCTGAGTTGGTGGTGGCCAAATAGAAGTCTTATTGGACAACAGTTTGGATTTTAACGCTTCTTTTGACACTCTAACCTTCTGAGTTATCTAGCCGCATCATACTAATAACACTAATGCCGTCTCCAAATTTATACTCAAAAAATACTCGCAATATTTATTGCATTTTTAGGTATATCTAATGTCTTCATTGAATTATATTCTAAACTACGTTAGAAATAATTGAAAATACTAAATAATTATATTTTAGGAAACTGCATTTAAACTACTTATGGCATTATTTTAGGCTTGTATACAAAATAGAAATAAAAAAATTAACAAAAATGATGTTCACGAAATCTTTGCTAATTAATAGGATAAAGTTTCAGAATAAATAAAAATATTTTTTTTCTTTGAAAGAGTAAGTATGGTAAACTTACTTCAATTTGGTTCCACGAAGAAAAAAATACGTTCCATGACTTCTTTGCTCAAAATTCGATCTTCGAATAAAAAAATAAAACTTAATCAGCCTTTTAAATTAAGAAAACTGATTTCCATTTGACTTTAGAAGACAAATTAAATAAATTATTTACTCCATATTGATTTATAAAACATTTCAGCGTTATCATATCGCATCGTAAAAATGTAATTAAGTGGAATAATGTCAAAATAGAGTCAAAATGGTAAAAAATAAAGATAAATAAAAATAAATGGATTTTTTTATTTTTATTTTTTATCTTTATTGTTATTTAGCAAATTTGAGGTTTTACAATGCGTATTCACAGTGCGTTTATGCTCATGTATTTTGGCGCTTTTAATGACGATAGTACGTTAATATTGTATTCCTTGAGTCATTTTTTCTTTCAATATGCTTTTAAAAAAAAATGTTACTCAGAAAAATCAAAGACTTTTTTGTTTATAGTTTAAAAATAAGAAACCAGATGTTTTTGTGTACTAGTTGCAAACAAATGACTTTTGATAACTCTATATAAAAGACAAATTTGGATGGCACCTTGAAAATTATTGTAAACATCGACATCGACTCATTATGTTAGTACTTGATATATTCGGGGACAAAGCTTTCCTATTATAAATAAACTGTCAAAAAATATGATCTTTTGAAAATTATATAGCTAACTAGCTCGCTAAATAATTACATAATTGTTAATAATTATTTGTTAAGTGTTAAATTACTAGTAAGTGAAAATGAAATTTTTAAAATTAAAGCTGTGATCTTACCAACTTTACGGTGGTAGGGCTATAAAATCATTAAAAATTTTAAAATATGTAAAAAAAAACTTTCTAAGAACGACTTTCGTTTGCGTATCTACTTTTGTTTAGAATTAATAAATATATATTTGTTAGCCAACAAAGCATTCTAAATTTATATTCTAACGCCCTACCCAGTGGACACGGACGTAAAAAAGACGTCTTATATACGTTTTAGACGTCTTTTGAACGTTCAAAAGACGTCATTTTTTGGTCTGGTGCCCTCCAGGTAGTTACTAAAATCAAGAAATCATTTTTTAAATTTAATCGAAGAAGATAAAATTAAAGATGTTTTAAAATTAAAAAAAAAACAAAAATAAAAATAGTAAATAAATAAAATAACATACAAACTGTATGACATGTTTTCAAATTAAAAAAAAATTTAACCATGAGCATTGTAAAAATCAACAGATGAAAAAAGCCGTAAATCAATAAAACACAACTAATTACACCTGCAAGTGAAATCAAAATTACACATTGCCCTAGAAGGTGGTGCGGTATGGGACCCGCTACTCAGTATTAGGTCTACTTATCGGTAATATTAATTGCCAATAGACTGAAGCTTAGCAGCTCCAACCTAATGGTTTGTTCCATCAAACGTCCGATACTTAATTTAATCTTGGTCAAACGTCCGATACTTAATTTAATCTTGGTCAAACGTCCGATACTTAATTTAATCTTGGTCATTAGACCGAGAAACGATCTTAATAACATTGAAATTAGAAAAAAAAAATGATAAAGCTCACAAAGTCATGGTAGATTTTGTAGGCCTAATCATTTCTTTTGGAAATGTTATTGACATTAATGCTACTTCGATAAAGGGCTTTTTTATCTGTTGATATTTACAAAGTTTGTGGCATGGATTTTATTTTAATTTGCATTTTTTTTTTGCTATGATTTTAAAACGTTTTTAACTTTGTCTTCTTCGACTTTTATGATTTTGTCTTCTTCGACTAACTTCGTGATTTTTATGATTTTGTCTTCTTTGACTAACTTCATGATTTTTATGATTTTAGATCATTTAACTTAAAATTTTCAGGATGTTATCATATATGCTAGCTGTTTCATTAAACATTTGCGTATTTTCTTAAACAATTGAAACTACACAGGTATTGTTAGAGGCAATTCTTGGGAGGGGAGAGAAGGTTTGTGTGAAGTGATGTTTCACCCCACCCCGACCCACCACAAAAGAAGATGATTTTTCAAATTGTTTCTATTATTTTAAAGAACCCAGTTGGTACTTTTTAAGAATTGTACGGTTTTGGCGCAGTAGTTAAAGCGCTTGCTTTATAAGCAGGAGATCCAGGTTCGAAACCAGCTCTGAATATATTTTCGCGTCACGGTAAGGAAGGAGGCGTGAACTTGTGGAAGGCGTGAAAGTATCACCCCCTCCCTTATTTAATTCGTACAATCGCCTCTGGGTGTTGTAGCATATGTACATAAAATTATACTTTTTAGCCTTACCTTTTCTGGGCTTCAAAAACTTATTGAAGCCTGTAATATATACATAAAAAGCAAATTGCATCCAACTTAATGCTGACAAAGCCAAGTTCTCGCTCACCAGAATACATCGAATAAAAAAACTGCACAATAACACTTAACAAATTAAAATACAAAGTAACCTTAGTCATTTAGGCTTGATATGAGATATTAATAGTTCATCTTTTGCTTCATTTAATCATTTAAACATTGATCACAGGACATCAAAAATTAGAACAGTAATCCTAACTCAAAAACTCTTTTGTCCAACTATATAAAACTTTCACTTTTTCAACACTAACATATGGTCTTGAGCTTTGTGAATGTAAATAAGTATAAATGAAAAAGCTTGATATAGTTAAAAAAAACGCATTACATTTGCTCCTAAACGTTTCAAAACATAATAAAAATTATATCCCTCCCTTATTTTCTATTCAGGATACATCAATAATTATACAGCAAAACAAGCTAAACTTATTTATTCACCTGTTGAAAAACAAAGTTACATTTTTAACTGTTACTGTTACTCAACAGTAACAGTTAAAACTCAACAGTAACAGTATACCCCACCTATGGGCAAGTTTTGCGACATCGGTTAGGAAGGAGGCGTGATCTTCCGATTAAATGCTCATCAGCGGTGTTTTGTGATAAGACCGTAAGGACTTCTTGGGGCACCTTAATAAAATTAAAAAAAAAAAAAAAAAAGAACAGTTTTTTAGGATGTTCTGGAAGAAAAAATTTCGAGATGATTTTATTACGTTTTATCTTTAATGTAAATTCATTTAACTTTATTCAATATATAACTTTTTGCTAAATGCAGTTCAAATGTAAAAATGTTTTTCTCAAAATAACTGTTTAATTTTAATTATTCAATATTTATAGCAAATATCATAAAAGATATTTATAAATATTTGTTATAAATATTTTTGATTTTTTATAAATATTTTGATTATGACTTTACATTTAAAATATGTATATATAATATATATTATGGTGTTAGCAATATGCGATTGAAAGTTATTTTTTTTTATCTTAAGTTATAGTACCAACAACAAGCATGTAAACTATGCAATTTTTAGTATTTTTTAGGCCATTATGGATAGAAATAATATTTTTGGCTGAGAAAATGTTGTTATTATCAATATAACCGTTTCAGCACAAAAACAACTTTAGATCTAATATTTTTCTCAAAAATTGATTTTTTATTCACTGAAAGCATTTATTTTTAGATAAAGTTCAGGTTGAAATAAGTAATGGTTTTTGAGTAGGGCTGAGTCTTTAGCGCGTTCCGATATAATCTACATATAAGACCCATTTCTCAACACCTGTTAGAACATTGTCAAACCAACTTATAGTACGCATTTTGAATAACAAAAAAGTAAAAACGTTAAAATTTTAATTTTGATGGTTTGGAGTCTAATAATGGACCTAAACATTAAGCAATAATCGAGCTGGTTCAGAAGATGTAAAATAGTCGTACGTGCTAGCATAAATACGTTGTTAAAACGTTGGAACAATATAGCAAGTTGTGTTGGCACAACATCAGTCTCTAATGTTATTTTATTATTATCATTATTTTGGTTACAAATACAACATCACCAAAAACAAAAAAGCAACAACGTTTAATATTAAGTTGGAAAAGAGTAATAAGTTTTTTTTTCTTTTTTTTCTTTTAGGTATACATTATATAAATACAGTTTTTATCGTGAAAAAGAAAATTTGATTAAAGTCGTACACTTAGTTAGGTGTATTTTACATTGGTTCAACGTTGGATTTAATTTTTATCGGAATTAAATTTTGACAATACATTTTTTTTCTTATATTTATATACAAAATATTATATATATATATATATATATATATATATATATATATATATATATATATATATATATATATATATATATATATATATATATATATATATATATATATATATATTTAGGGAGCAGGTGAGAGATTTTTCTGCATTATTTTTTACTAGAACTAAATACTTTTTATTTCTTTTATAAAAATGTTCTTTAAGAACGTTAGTCAAGAGTTGACGTCATAATATTCGCAGACACCTTATCAATCAGAAACTAAGATAACTACCATTACAACATGCTGCAACAAAAACACAACAAAACTGTTTTAGTTATATAAAAGAAAATGATCTTACTTTTGTTGTGATAAATTTTAGAACAACTTTTTTTTTTGCATTTTCGTTATTTAGTCATTATTGTTAGTTTTGTCTCATTAAGTAAATATGTTCATATATGATATAATGGTCTGATAAATCATGTTTCAATTCTCATTTTTACAAAATAGTAAAAAAAAAAAAAAAACGAAAAACAAAAAACAAAACGACTGAATAAATAATCTTTTTTTTTCATATTCTTAATCTAATATGATCTAGAAATTAAATTTATCATGTCTCTTACCTTTGTAGAATAGCGTCTAAGACATCAACGTCTCAAACGTCAAAAATTACGATAATAATCGAACAGTGTTAATAATAACAGCCGATCACAAATTCAGTGAACACGATATTTATGAACTAAGAAGATGTCTCTAAATTTGAAGTTTTAAATTTGCTACTTTGTGGAAAATTTTTTATAATTGTTAAAAACAAAAACACAAGAAAAATTGTATCATAAAGTGCATTAAGTTTTAAAAACTTTAGTTTCGTTCCGTAATTTAGCAAAGGCAGATGTTTTCAAAAACGTCAGGGATTATTATAAAGGACAACCTTTTTTAATTTAGAGTTTAAATTATAAGTAACAATGATAAATAATTGCTTGTTTTTTAATAAAATTTATGCAATGAATAGTAAAGGAGTATACTCAAAAATTCTGTTATCAAAGAGAATTAACATAGTTAGCTATTTTTAAGTCGTTATCAAATCAGTTTCTTTAATTAAACGATGTTGGTTATTGTTGCGACTTTAAAACATATAACGTCTTTGATAAGTAATAATGCTTATATCTTGCTGTGTAACAGCTCATTAATTCAATGGGCAAGATCACAATGTAAACATAACTTACTGACATGCAGCCAACGTCACTAAAAATATTAGCTGAAAAGAAACATATTTTTTTTTATTTGTTTAAAAAGAGCAGATGTTGTTGTATTAATTGTACTTCAAAATGATTAAACATAAATAGTAATGTTTGCAGTAAAAACTTGTACTTAAGTTTGCTTCTGTATATAATTATATATTTTTTATATATTTAAAGTGGCATATTTAAAACGTTGGCGCTCTTTGGCATTTATAAAACAATTCCCAAGTAATTCATTTTCCAAATATAAATAGCTGTTTATTTAATAGATGAAGCTATTATTTTTTTAAAAAATGCTAGTTTTTTAATGAATAATTTAAAAAAATTAGGTGTCTGGAATTATAATTTATTCTTAAGAAAAGTGAAAACCTTTCTTGTATGTGTGTGTAATTACTAGATCTTAAAAAATATCAACTGCTTTCTTAAAAATATAAAAAAAAATTTCAAAACTAAAAATCACACATATGAAATGTGTCAAATAAACCAAACCTTCTCTATCTCTCTCACTCTCTCTCTCTCTCTCTCTCTCTCTCTCTATATATATATATATATATATATATATATATATATATATATTATATATATATATATATATATATATATATATATATATATATATATATATATATATATATATATATATATATATATATATATATATATATATATATATATATATATATATATATATATATATATATATATATATATATATATATATATATATATATATATATATATATATATATATATAAATTTCATAAACGTACGGTTAAAAAATGTTTTCCGCATCAGTACAGTCCAAACTTTATCAATACAAGATTTAAAAAAGAGAAAAAAGAGGTTAAAAATTAGAAAATATAAGTTTTTGTTTTTTTAAAAACATACGCGATCTTTTTTAATTATCTGTTGATTAATTTACTCTGAGGAGGATATAGGAAATTTAACCATCAGGACATCAAAACGATTACAAAAAAATATGCACAAACTGTTTTATTGAACATGTAAAATCAATTTTGATATATAACCCCCCCCAGAAGAAACCATTCACCCTCAAATAGAATATCCTTCCCAGATTTACTAATTTAATAAAAGTTTAACTAAAAAAAAAGGAAATTAAAACTATAATGAGGTGGGGTTTACTCCTTTCATCCTCCTTTTTTTGGAAATGGGAGAAACCGAGTACCTAGTTACTTACAAGTTTTTTAAAATAGCTGTGATAAAGTAAACTTTACTCCATGTAACTCAGATGGGCGTTTTTTTTTTAATTTTACTTATTTTCAGAAACAGATGTTTTAAGTAAAGTACAATTGATTATAATTAGTTTAATTTAATAAGATTAAATAAAAATTTAACAGAATAAGTATATATAATTATTTAAGAACATTAAACCTACTATTTTGTAGAATACATATATATATATATATATATATATATATATATATATATATATATATATATATATATATATATATATATATATATATATATATATATATATATATATATATATATATATATATATATTTTGCGAAAATGGAAGGCTTAATGTTCTTAAAAATTAAGTTTTATAGGAGGATAGAGTTAATGAACTCCAAAAAAGATCATGCTATAAGCACCACATAACAGTATTGAATAAAGTGTGAAGTGAGAAGTTTGCCGCCGCATTTCTTACATATGTCACTTCTATGCTTAAAGGTGATCAAATAAAAAAACAAATTTAATCTTACAATATTATAACAACTTTTTAATAAAATTATTGGTGAAAATATAAGTAACTTTTTAGTGCATAGCAACTGCAAACTTCAAAGTGCATACAACTGCAAACATCTATGCGCATATCTATTTTTTTTCAGAAAGATTTGTTCAATATATTTATTCAAAAAGCTATTTAAGATAAAAAAATATTGTGAAATATTGCAACAAGAAAAAAAGTAAATTTAAAATAAATAAACAAATAAAAATAAGTAGTTTTTATTTAAAAAATACTGAGCGGTTCTTAATTCATCAAGAATCGCTCTATACATTTAAAAATATATACTATAACGTTATAAAAATTATTTGTTTTATATTGGATTTTAACTAAATTTCTTCAGTGTTAATAACGTTTTTTAGAGTACTCATCAAATAGTTTTTCAAGATCTTGTTTCTCGGAAATATTTTCTTTAAATAAATTTTTTTTACAAAATCGATGGTCAATTTCTCCACTTTTATAATTGTTATACCGTTCATCAAGAAATACATTATTTAATCTAATTATGCAGTAGTTATTTTTATATAGCTATTTGTTAATCGTAATAAGTTCACACATCAATCTAAATGTCACACAATGGAGTACTTCAAGCAGGGCCGTCCCGAAGAGATTTTAAAGGAGGGCGGGGGGTGACGTATTAAAAGATTTAAAATAAACAAAATAAAATAAAATAAAACTTAGATTTAAAATAAAACAAAAAGTCGTCGTTCTCTGATATTTGCCGACAACCAACTATAGATTCAATTTTGCCGACTCCACACATGTCGACTAGTTAATTTAGTAGGGGGGCTAGGCTCTCCCCTAAGCCTCCCCTCGGGACGCCTCTGACTTCAAGATAAAAGTCGATAAAAAAATGATGACAAATACTTTATAAAAATATAATCCAATCTAAACATCATGAAAACTAAACAAAAACTACATCACTAAACAACAGTTTTAGTGTTATTCACTACCCCCCACCCCTACACACTACCCTCCTCCTTTCTTTTTCTAGTTATAACAGCAATTAGAACTCAAACTTCGCATGAGTTATTCATTGACGCTTCCAGTCAAACACAACTTTTAAAAGTAATTGTTAAAGTAAGTAAGTTCTTAAGGTAAGTAAAATTGCAAAATCTAAAGATTTTTAAAGATTGTAATTTCATTAATCATAATGAATGTTGAAGAAGAACAAATACATATATATTTAAAATAAATATATAGATAGATATACAAAATAAATATATATATATATATATATATATATATATATATATATATATATATATATATATATATATATATATATATATATACAAAATGTACATACAAAATAAATATATATTTTCTTCAATTTCCTTATTAATGTTTTTATTTATTCCAAACTAAAAATGTTAGATTTTTTTTGTAAATATTTTATTCAAAAGTTAAATTAGGATTTTGTACGTAACTTAAACATTTTTTATTCTAGTTAATATTTTTAATGGAAAAGGTCCAACATAAATCTACTAATTTTTAAATTTAATTTTGAATAAATTATACGACAAAAACGTATGAAGTGTTTTTTGAATAAAAATCTATTTATTTATTTTTTCAAAATCCCAACCTAATGTATTTTTTCAATGTCATTAAAGACATTGAAAAAATACATTGAAGTTTCACTCCAAAAAAAAAAAAAAAGGCCTTAAACAGCATAGATAAGCGCTTTTTGAAAAAAAAAGGAACTATGACTCAATGCCAGGTAAAAAAGTTCTATAGATGTTTTATAAACTTTTTAAACATATAGCCTATATATAGAATCTCTGTTAATTCCTATAAAACTTTTTTTCTATAGAAAAAAAAGTTTTAAAGCAATTTCTATAGAAAATAACAAACATTCCATAGAAATATATAGAATTTTTATATAATTTCTAAGGCCAAAAGTTCTATATTGTTTATAGAAACTCTATAGAACTTTTTTTCCGGAGATGCCACCATATACCTCTGCCTACTTGGATTCAGTGGTGGACATTTCGGGCCCGAGGCTATTTTTTTCGGAGGCCTTTTTTTATGCCACAGCGCAAAAAATGGCTAAAAAAAAGCTCTTTAGCCTGCCTCAGCCCCCGTCTCTTTTTAATCCAGCACTGCCTGAATTTTAAAAGGCATTTCGAACCATCAAAAGATATCAAGTTGTTAAGTTCGCCAAGCAAGAGACGTTAAAAAAGCTCTTCCAGATAGCAAATATTTTCAGAACAACTAAACTATGCTTCCCAAATGAGTCTGCGTGCTGCAGGACATTGTATTGCGTCTAGAATAATAAAAGATATTATTTGTTCACCGGAAAAGACAAATAAAGAGAAAGATTTGCTTCCAATTAGATGAGTATTTAAAAAAATACAATCTATCGAAAGCATTATCAACTTTTGTTGAAACCGGTATGACAAAAAAGAAAAAATCAAATAATTTATGTTGCTAATAAAAATATTTGTTTGCTTTGAAAGAAGCAAAAAAAAAGATTATGTTATAAGCCACAAAAGACAATGACAATTTTAGAAACACGTTGTGAAATTTAATTACAAGATATATTAAATCACACATCTAGGTGCTTTTGTAAATATTTAGATGAAGTGTTGGAAACCTTAAATGAGGAAAAATTTAGAGATACAATCAAAATGGTGTTGCGATGGCAACAACAAACATTAAAAAAAGCATTCTAAAAATAATACTGACAGTTACAGAATGGTGGACAGAAGATTAATTGCCAATATTCGTTCAATTGTAGTCGAATACGAGTTCATTTTATCCACAAAATTAAAGATATATCAAATGAAAAAATTCCTTATGTAAAAAATCAAATACAAAATATAAAAAAAGTTTTTAGTATATTATTTCATGTTTTACTTTACTTATATAGTTTGTGTATTTGTATATAAATGTTTGATTTATGTTTGTATTTTGATCGCTTTTATTTTTACTGTTCTAATTGAACTCTTAATTTTTAATGTTTTGTTTTTTCTATTCTTTTTTTTGTATGTTGTGTCAAAAAAATTTTATTGCCTAAAGACACTATAGTATCTTTGGGCAAAATAAAGACACTATAGTATCTTTGGGCAAAATAAAGACACTATAGTATCTTTGGGCAAAATAAAGACACTATAGTATCTTTGGGCAAAATAAAGACACTATAGTATCTTTGGGCAAAATAAAGACACTATAGTACCTTTGGGCAAAATAAAGACTCTGCTCATTTGATTTAAATATCATATTATGATTCCAAAGTGCTTTTTTTTTTTTATCTTATTGATAAAAACCATAAAATAATTTTGCTAAACAAACAACCTTAAATGCTCCACTCTGCAACTCGGTAATACCTTAAAAATTATATTCATATTTAATATTTGTTGTTTATTTATTTTTAATACTTATTTAATTTATTATTTTTATTTTTCTTCTTATATTTATTATTGCTATTTTTAGATTTAATTTAAATTAATATCTAAAAAAAAGTGTATATATATATATATATATATATATATATATATATATATATATATATATATATATACATATATATATATATATATATATATATATATATACATATATATATATATATATATATATATATATATATATATATATATATATATATATATATATATATATATATATATATATAAATATATATATATACATACATATATATATATATATATATATATATATATATATATATATATATATATATATATATATATAAAATCTACTTAAATTAAAAATAATATGTATTAACAAAATATATAAAATTTATTAAAATAAAAAGTTGCAAACCTAGTTTGTAAAGCGCTTTTGCCAATGGATTGTCAAATAGCATTGTATGCACGTGGCTGAACGGCATTCCACGACTGGAAATTTACGCTTGGTTTCCTTACTCCTTTTTGAAATAATGGATTTATCCAATCATGTTTGAATTTTATGACCGATTTCTTCATTAGAGATTATTTAGATAGCATCTACTTTATCATCATTTAAACCAAAACTTATAATAACGACGGCAGCATTTCTTATTAGCCGACTCGATATACATTTTTCAAGAAAATTTATCTCAATATTTAAAAAATAAAAGTTGTGCAAAATATGCAGCAAACGTTTTATAAAATTATTTTATAAATTATTAGTTTTTATCATTGAGTTAGTAAAGTTAAAAGAAAAAATCAACAGCAAACTCCTTTAGAGTCGTTACAAAGCAAAAGTATAATAATTTATGCTAAGTAGAATAATTTATACTTAAGTTCAACATAGTTCTAAATAATTTATGAATAAAAGAAAACTAGTCTAGACCGTTTCGAAAATAAATCAAAACAATTGGTTAGGGAATTATTATTTTTTTAATAACTTCTTTATAATCTATATGGAAGTACTTGATATCTAAAAACTTCAGTTACCATGGTAAAAAATAGGAAACTCCAAAAAAATAGTAAGGAACAGTTTTCAGTTAAAAATATCCACTATTTTTAATAAAATTAGTTGGAAATTCGGAATTAAAACTGACTCTTTAGTGTTTTATGTGACTTTTTGAAATGAAATTTAACAATAAAAACTTTCTTAAAGCTACGCCTTTTTTTTTCAGTCTTTATTTAACGTTTAATAAAGGTTTATCATATAAACTAAATGCATTGTACTAATTTGTACCAATTGCTACAAGAATCTTTATTGTTTGAATATAAGAATGACACAAAATATTTTGATTGAAACAAGTTTTTCAGATTTGTAAATAAAATAGTTTTTTTTTAATTTTATTGATAATCAAAGTTCTCTTTAAATTTGTTTTAAATTTTAGTTTAATTTTTATGATAAATTTTATTAAAGGAACTGTGTTTTATAGAATATTGATAAAATTGGAAAAGAACATGTTTTAGAAAGTTTAAGATTTTTTAATAGTCATTTTTTATTTATAAACAAATACTGCATTAATGTAAATATTTATAAATATTTGCTACATAATGTTTTATTTATTTAGCTTATTTGTAAATTTACACACTTTAATGAGGAAAAAAAATACTGTTACAAACAAATAACTTGAAGTGATAAAGTGTAATACCTTTTATTTCAACGCTGCTCATGATATATATCAATTTACCCGCAAAAATTTAAAAAGATGTGTTTTCTAATGACAATATCTAAAAAACTATGCTACATGGATGCCAAAATTGTTGCATTTGTAACATTGTATCTGAACGTTGTTGCAACGTATCCTGTTGGCTATATTTATCTTAAATTATATGTTTCTTATATAAAGTATGTACTTAAATTTGTTGTGTACAAACCTTACTAAAAAATAATTTAATTGCCGGTAACAAATTAAAAAAAGAAAGAAAAGAATTTTCCTTAATCCATTAAAGTTGTGGTGAGATTGTTGAGAGATATACTAACTTTATTAAAAATAATATACTGTTTATAAACCAAATATGCAGCCGTGGTAAGTGGTTACAGTTTTGGCTTCGAAACTGTAGGTCCCTGGTTCGAAGCCGGCAATGACCACATATGCATCATTGGTAAGAAAGGAAAACGTGAAAATTTTTGTTAAATGTTACTTCGCGGTGTTCTGTAATAAGATTGTTAGGACGTCTTGGAGTACCTAAATTACTTAATATGCCATGCTCATTTTAAAACAATAACCGTTTTTAAACATTTTTAATTTCTTTTACTTATTAACGATTAAGTAAGCATAATGTCCTGCAGCCGTATTCTCATCTCTCCGTTAGGCTTAACGTAACGTTTCTCAAAAATTTCATTACAACATTTCTAAATAAAGAAATGACAAAAACTTTATTTGAATTTGTTTAAATAAAACTAAGACTAAATAAAACAATTTTATTTAAAAAATTATTTTTTTTAAGAATTTTTTATATTAATGTAGCTAAAAAGAACTTTTTGACAAAAGCTCCGGTAATCTTAACGGAGAGATGAGAATACGGCCACTGGTTGTCTAAATTTGCGACTAACTTGTATATTTGCCGACTGACTTATCTAAAAGGGTCTAAACGAACGAAAGACTAAACCAACGAAAAACTTATTGATCGGCGGGGATGGGTGGGATGAGGTGGGGTAGTGACATAATACCCACACCCTTCCCATATCCCACCCCCTTCACGCCGGCCTTACATGCAAAAAAATTTAGTTGACTTAATATTAATTTATGTGTAATACTTAATTTATGTTAAATATAATATTTTATTTATATTAAATATGTTATTTAATTTATATTAAATATATTATTTAATTTATATTAAATATTTTATTTAATTTATATTAAATATACTATTTAATTTATATTAAATTTATTACTCAATTTATATTAAATATATTATTTTATTTATATTAAATATAATATTTAATTTATATTAAATATAATATTTTAATTTATATCAAATATTTAGATTAAATTGTTGCTTGTGCTATTGATGATTTAAAAATTAATTTTGATTTAAATTCATGTCATTCTAGATTTTTGTGCACTGTTACTGTAGAAAGAAATTAACCATAATAAGTATATGATGCGATGTTTTGATGATTTTTGTGAAAATAGTCTTTGATCATTTTGTTTGGAATAATTTTGGCGCAGTACTCTATTTAGTGCATTTTAAAATAATTTTAACGGATGAGTTACCAAAATGTTGGCATTGCTTATTTTATAAATAACTTTTTTTATTAGTCATTTAAAACAATCTTTTATCTAAGCTTCTAATTCAACTATTTAATTATTGATTTTTTGACTAGTGTCTGTCTTTGCTCCAATTGAAAATTTCGGCATATTAAATTTTAAAGTTTTTTTTTTATAATTTGCACACAATTAGTCTGACAGCTGAATTTTTCCATGAATTTTATGACCGCTTTTGAAAATAAAAATTATTTCTAGTGAGAACATCATCATAACTTGACCCCCTGTTATTTTTATTATAATTTGACCCTCTCACCCCTCCCCCACGCACATAATTTCATATTTTTTATTCTCTTTAATATATTTTGGGTATATTTAAGTAAACCAAATTATCTTTCTATTTTTAATTTTATCTGAACCTAATTTGACTCAAATACTATTTAATATAACAAATAATAATTATTATCATAAATAAATATATAATAACTAAATATTATTGTGTCAATAAAAACATACTTCGGTCTGATATTATATTATAGGCAGTATTAACGGAGTAGGTATAGTTGGAAGGAACGGTCTTAAGTCGCTTCTAAACTTATTTATTGGCCTATGAAGAATAAAATAACATTTGATATCGAGTCACAGTTGAAAATCGAGACAGCTCTACAACCTTTTTTAGATAGTGTCAAATTTATGTGCAATAGTTATGAACTAAATTTAATTTCCGAAAAAAATTTTCTAGTTTTAAAATGTGCAATCGAGTGCTGGAACTCAAAGGAATAAAGAAAAGTCTATAAGGATATTCTTGATAAAAAAATTCAAAGATGATGATATTGCATTTATCTTTAATTTAACTTTACCTTACTTGTATATAGTGGGTGTTTAACAAACATAATGGTAATATATACTGATTTCTACAATATATCACAAAAATATACAAGTAATCTTATTTGTATGTCAAATATAGATTTATGACATAATTTTCAAAACTCGATTTTTTTAAAAATAATAATAGATAAATAATATTTAAAAATAAATAAGGTTTGATGTAGGAGCGTATTAGAAATTAAAGCCTATTAGAGAATGGAAACTTACTCAATTATTTACCAGGCCCTATATGTTTAATAGCTTAAGCATAATTAGGATAAATAACAACATGATAAATAAAAATACTATTATTAATATAATCACAAGATATTTACAACTTTAGAAGGTTTCTTTCTTGAATTGTTTTAAATGCTCTCAGAGAGCGCGTACTCTTTATCCTTTAAATGCTCTCAGAGAGCGCGTACTCTCTATCGCGCGCACTTTATTGTTTAAAGACTAGAGTTTATATCGCTTTCTTTATTTTTATATGGCATAAAAGCAAGTCTACGAACCTGTGTGTAAAACCTAATCAGCAAAGTAACAACCAATGAAAACCATTGTAAAAAAAATTCTTTGTACTTACACCTCGACGATAGTTTTCCACAATGCTTTGTACAATTTAAAGTTTTTAAAAAGAATTATCGCCACAATCAATAATTTTAAAATACTTACAAGAACTCAACACCCGAAATTCTTAAAGTTATAAGAAACTCGATGAGTTTCTACGATGAGATGACCTAAGATCCAAAACTTTTAATTTATATTTTTGAGAAATTCGTTGTCAGATCTAACATTCAAAATTCTATATAATTTGTTTTGCATACAATTTTAAGATGCCATATAAAATATAGATACCACTGATGACCACCATTACGCAATAACATTGTAAAAAAACTTTGCCAATTACAAAGTTGACAACTGGCTGTGAGATTAATAGATAAAAATGGACGGAAACTCAATTTCGAAGAGATTCTTTTGAATTTCAGAATGATCATAACGTTGGCTATTTCTAAATATAAGTAATAACACTATATTGATAAACAAATTAATTAATTTATAATTATTAATTTTAAATATTATTTTAACACGGTTATATATACTCATTTTCATTTTTAAATAATAACTTGTGATAATGTACGATTAATATTTTGCGATTATATACAACTAATAATATGCAATTCTATACGATTAATAATATGCGATTATATATTATATACGCACATATATAAGTCGATTGCTTGTACTATTTAAGATTTTATTAAGCGTACATGCAGTAAAAAACAAACCTCAGGATACTTTTTAAGTATTATCTAATATATTGCAGTACCGTGCACTATTAGCATGAGCTATGAAATATAAATTGCATTTTTCAGTAAATCTTAAAATTAATTCATCAATACAACTATACTTTTTTTTAATTATAATTTGTAAAATTTTTATGTTATTATTTAATATCTAATAAAACATTATAACATATATATACATATATATATATATATATATATATATATATATATATATATATATATATATATATATATATATATATATAAAATAGACAGAAATCAAGAGAAGATAAAAACGAGTCTAAAAAAGAGAGACATAAGTCTACAAAAAAACAGACAGAAAAGTTGAGGAGACAGACAGAAAACTATAGTAACAAACAAAAAAAATTTAAAAGAAATAATTCAAAATTACAGCTTATAAAAATTTTTAAAAGATTTTTTAAGTGCCTTAATTCATATGCCAGATGTTGTATATAAAAGATGTACATAGATAACATTTGTTTTTAATGCATTCTGACCTCTAACTTAATAGTGTTGATGTATTTTTGAAAAAAGCGTTTGTTTTATACTGTTTTTATAACATTTTTCTTAACACTTGAAGCACTATACAAGTTTTATTTGTTGAAGGTTACATGATCTGCTTTAGTATATTTTAGCGCTGGTTTCAGATATGCATATTATTACACGCATGTTATTACACGCGGTTATGAAATCATAAAAATTATAATTTAACCAACGTATCATATAGAGATTTCGTTGATAATAGAAGCAAATAAAGTTAATAACCGAGGCATATGAATTTCATTTATAAAACAACTTCCTTAAAAATGTTTTTTTTATATATATATTTTACGATGCATTATTTGCACATCAAATATTTTCAGTCAACAAAGTAGCCTAATAATTGGAAAAACCCATGATTTTTACGATTTTTGTTGATTACAAAAGCAATATTTGTGCATAAGGGACGTATTTTTACTAAATCTAACGTAAAGTCAGTATAGACATGTTGGTCTAATCACTTTTTCGTCATAACCAATATTCATGAAAATATGACCGATATGCCATCATAGGCGCCTTTCCCATAAGTGTTTTAGAACTAATTTTTCAGGCCAGGATTTTTTCCTAAACTAAAGAGCTATATTTTTTATAAAATTATTTTAAAAAAATATAAATGTTTTTTGAAGAAAACAGATTTTCTAAAATCTTATTTTAAATTATACAGAGTGGAAATAGTTTTTGTTCTGTAAAACCCGATCGCCAACTACAGTAATAAAAAAGGGTTGACACAAAAGTAAAAAACATGTAAGTTTATTTAATTCTCATATAGCATGTCATATATATATATATATATATATATATATATATATATATATATATATATATATATATATATATATATATATATATATATATATATATATATATATATATATATATATATATATATATATATATATATATCGGAATATAAGTGCCGTATCGAAAATTTAATAAAATTCTTTATAAATATGTTATTACCTAATTTATCTAACTTTAACATTGCGTTATTAAAAAAATTCTTCTAAAAGAACTTTTTACATTTACATAACTTTAAATTTACATAAAATAGATAATTACATATTTTAATAAATTTTCGATACGACATTTGTATTCTGAGCTGATATATATATATATATATATATATATATATATATATATATATATATATATATATATATATATATATATATATATATATATACAGCATTTCAAAAAGTCATTAAATTTTTAATTTTTTTAAAGAATTTTTAAACTTACTTTAAAAAAATTAGGATTTACTAAAAGAATATGAACACTTTTGCAATTTTCAAATATTTATATAATTTATGTTTTTATAATAATATTTTTTTTAACTAAATTTTTTTTTAACTTATTTTTCACACACCTTTAACTTTAAATCAAACCAGCCCTGGTAATACCATGAATTCAGAATTTATATACTTTAAATATAACAATATTTCACTTACAGAGTTGCAACATCAATTGTCTTCATGAGTTTGCTCTCTATTTCTTGTCTCTACATATAAAAAAAACATTTATTTTTAAATAATTTAAAACAATAAATTTGCAATCAATAATAATGCAACATATATCAAAATATTCACAAAAAGCATTTGTCATTATGATTGAATTAAAATATTTATATTAAGAATATTGCAGAAGTACAAATTGGATTGTATTAAAAATCAAAAAATTATTCAAAATAAAGCCTGCCTTTTATATGGAAATAAAAATGGAGATTTACCTATTTACATACATACATGCGCATACACACATTCATATGTGTGTGCTTATTTGGTATATTTGTATTACTTGTATGCGTGTGTGTATGTATGTGTACACACACACATATACACACAAAGTCAATCAGCTGTTTCCTAAGTAACAAACAATACAAGGAATCTTTAACTATCAATCAAAGTCAGGACCTGAAAGAAAGAGGGGGTTTGAAAATAAAAAGTTGGTATCTAACATTTGTGTTCAATTATTGCAGAATCTTGAATTGTCTGACTATCAAAGAGCAAAAAATACAAAACAATGAAAAAGTCAAAAATTTTTGTAATTCTCATGTTTACTCTCAAGTTTTTCTTTGACTGAAGAGAAAACTTTACTTCAATACAATATTTTTTCCTGCTTCTTACATTATTTTTTACATTATTTCTTACATTATCACGCCTTGTATCATTGTTATAACACCCAAAAATTTTTTTGTTAACCACCCATTTGACTAAAATCTATCTAGTCTTATTAGCAAAATTTAGCTTATAAAATATATTATCAATGGTTGCCCACTGAGCATTTCGCTTTCTTAATGATTTATTAACGATTCTTGGTTTTTAATAATTCTAAAAATCATTTAAAACCAAGTGTCTCGCCTCCTGGTGAAGTTAAGATGATTATTGAATTTTCCAAACTTTAGACTTGATTATTCAATTTTCCAATCTTTAGACTTGATTATTCAATTTTTCAAACTTTAGACTTGATTATGCAATTTTCCGAACTAAAGACTTGATTATTCAATTTTTCAAACTTTAGACTTGAGTATTCAATTTTCTAAACTTTATAATTTATTTTTGTTTCAGATTTTTTTAATGCTTAAAGAAACTTTTTAAAAATCTTTTAATAATAGAACACAATCTTATTTAAACAGAGTCTTTAGATTGATATCGATATCGATATGGCCATGGTCCAGTGGTTAGATTGCTTGCTTTAGAAGCAGGCGATCCAGGTTCGAAACCTACTCTGAACATAATTTCGCGCCACGGTAGGGAAGGAGGCTTCCTAGTTAAATGTTCTTCCGCATTTTTTTTTTTTTTTCGCATGATTTTTTGCTCTGTGAAAAGCTAGTTCTTCTTGGGGCACCTAAACAACAAAATAAAAAAAAAAGACATCAATCTAAAGACTTTGTTTAATACTAATTATAACCTAGTTAAATTTTTATTCTAAATTGCCTTAATTCACTTTAGATCCTAGATCTGATCAACTCTGTTACAACTAAATTTGTCAAAATACAACATTTCCATCGATCTTCATACAAAATTTGGATACCAATTAAGAGATAGTTTATAATTAAGAAAAACTGCCATCGACCTATCAAAACAGATAAAATTATTAAAATGTGATGTTCAGTTCACCTAAAGGTTTGTCTATAAACTATGTCATGCTCTATGTAGGAGGAGGGGGGAAGGGGGAGATGTTAGTGCTATAATAAATGAGTAACCACTCGGTGTAGTTATGGCTATTTACAAAATATTCAAATACTGTTAAGTATAAGTGTTTGTGTTTGTTTTAAATTTTAGAAATTTAAAACAAACACAAACACTTATAGTAATATAAATAATAGAAAAAAACACAGATATTAAAACCGACATATTAACACATTTTTTATAAATTCAAAATTGAATTTATTAAAGCTTCATTTACTTTAAAAGTTAATTAGTAAATCATTGTATAATTTGGTGTCCGTGTAAACAAATGTTTTTTTAGCATTATACAAACACAAACACTAAAACAAACTAATACATAGTAACAATAGTAACATACATTGTTTCCTTTAGTCATAGAAATATCATGCAGTTGTATTTTTTCATACTCCTCAGCATCTTTTGGCATCTCTAATTTTTCTCCTATTAATAAAATAATAAATGAATAGTATCGGTCTTAAAAAATTATAGGCCTTAAATGTTTTTAGGTCTTAAGAAACTTCACAGGTCTAAAAAAATGTTTGGATTTAGAATGATGATCATTAGAAAAAAAATAGTGTTCATTATGATTAATTATGTTAATTATGATTAATACTTTGTAAAAACAGTAAATGAAATTGAAAATATTTAGAATTGATACCAAATATTGATTTTGAAACAAAAAAATACAAAAAAATACAAAATAAAAAATTAAATAAATACGTAGTGCATCTTTTAAATCTTCATATGTAATCTTTTGAACAGGTATATCATTCTAAAGAAAATTTACCATATACCTTTAATATTATATATATATATATATATATATATATATATATATATATATATATATATACATATATATAAATATATATATATATATATATATATATATATATATATATATATATATATATATATATATATATATATATATATATATATATATAAATAGATGAGGCTTTTTAGCAATGGTGAAGGCAACTCATCTAGGAGTCTTAAAACTATTATAAAACCCTATTTTAGAACTTGAAGAGTCGAAGTAGAAATAAGTAAAAAAATTTTAACCAGGTAATGATGATGTTGCAATTAAAATGTAATGATGTTGCAACCAGATATATATATATATATATATATATATATATATATATATATATATATATATATATATATATATATATATATATATATATATATATATATATATATATATATATATATATATATATATATATATATATATATATGTTTAATTAATTTAACTAAACATAGTTTTCTGAATTGAAAAACAGTAAATATAAATTTTCAAAATTAAAGAAAAAGTAAATACTGCATCGTTTTTTGATATAAAAGTAACAAAATTATTATATTTTAAGAATTTTTTTTTTCTTTAAAGATTTAATTCTAAAAGTAAAAAATCAAATTTTCAATTAATGCTCTTCTGTTAAGTTTTATTAAGAGATGAATATGACTTTGTGAGAAGATGGCCTTATTTGTCTCAGGTAAGCAGTTGGTCATAAATGACCAACTATGTTTAGCCCAGCACCACCACCATCATCATCATCATCATCATCATCATCATCATCATCATCATCATCATCATCATCATCATCATCATCATCATCATCATCATCATCATCATCATCATCATCATCATCATCATCGTCATCGTCATCATCAAAATCATTATCATCATCATCATCAACTTACCCCATGAATACTTGATGAAACACTTAGTAAAGAATCAGTTTTCACGATTGGGAAATTTTCAGGAAGTGACGCAGAAGACAATGATCTTGCTAATCATTAAGAAATTTAAAAATAATCATTAAGAAATTAAAAAATTAATCATTATGAAATTAAAAAATTAATTATTAAGAAAATAAAAAACTAATTATCAAGAAATTTATTATTAAGAAATTTAAAAAAAATAATTATCAAGAAATTAAAAAACTCAACAAAATAGTTAAAACAAAAGAGTTAAAATTTTAAGAAAAGTTTAATAAAGAAAAATAAAATAAAACTCATACCAGCTGGTTTTAGTACAAAAGGAGATTCAATGCTCTTTGTTTCATATTTACTGTTTTTAAGAGCATTTACAATGGTTTCTCGATCAAAAAAAAAAGAATCATCCAAAGTATTTAAGGTCTCTGACCTAAACTCTTTGTTTGAGAAAACAACAGAAGGGGTAATGCATGGTGCTTGTTCACTACGCTTTGCAATCACCTAAATTTCATAATTTGAATGAAAAAATAATTAGCAATTTATTTATAAATAATAAAAATAATTTTATTAACATAAATGAATAAATTTTGAACTTATTAAGTATAAAATATGGTTTTCAAAAGAGAAGAAAAAAAACAACAACTTGCAATTTGAGTATGGTGCTGAAGCGCAGGAATGGCAGTCATATCACAAATAAGCATAAAGAAAACAGTGACTAAACCATGGACACAACATTTCTGAGCCGAAGATAGCTGTGTTTTGGAGGATAACATAAGGTTCTATTTAAAAAAAAAAAAACATAATAATATTATAGTTAAAAAATACAGTTAAAATTTGAAAAAAAAATTCTGGAACAAATCAATACTCAACAAAATATGAATGAAAAATGATTTTATTAAAGTTCATTCAATATTTTTAAAAACTCATTTGAAAAAAGAAAGACAATTTATTACTAAAAAATGCCTGAATATGGCTTATAAAATATTTACTTGAGACATAAAATATGATTTACAAAAATTTTACTTTTGATTTTTTAAAAAGTTAAAACTTGAAAAAACATTTGTTGTGTGACTTCTAGGGAACATTTGATTAAATTAGTTACTCAAAAATTGCCATTTGAAATGAAATTTGAAGTTTGAAATAAAAAGTAGTCAGAATATGCTAAATGCATATTTATAAAACATTAAAATATTTAAAACTATTGTATTAAATAATGTTAATTGCATTATATCCAAAAAACCTTTTAATTTGTTGACAATAGTAAAACTGTCAAATCTAAAACTGTTGTTAATATTTGTATTACATACAATAAAAACGTCCCTTATATAAAAGTTAATAAAACAAGTGTTATCTTTTAAAGGTTAAGAGTATTTTTTAGTCTCCTCTTCTAAACATATTTGATTTATATTTATATCTATTATCTTAATATTATTCTGTTTGTTTTATGTTTTATCTTGTGTTATAGTAGTCATATATATATATATATATATATATATATATATATATATATATATATATATATATATATATATATATATATATATATATTATATATATATATATACTCTTACATGTCTCTTGCATGGCATCAAAAAAAGTTTCCCATTAACTGTAGTTTTAAAGAGCGCGTTAATAAACCAGACCAGAAAAAGTTTTAAAAATTAAATTTTTTTTTTTTAATTGATAGACTGCCTGGCCAAACCAAACCCTCAGTTGATGTAGCAGCACTCTCTTGCGAGTCAGGCTATTTGTCAGTCGATGTAGCAGCACTCCTTGCGAGTCAGGCTATTTGTCAGTCGATGTAGCAGCATTCCCTTGCGAGTCAGGCTATTTGTCAGTCGATGTAGCAGCACTCCGTTGCGAGTCAGGCTATTTGTCAGTCGATGTAGCAGCACTCCGTTGCGAGTCAGGCTATTTGTCAGTCGATGTAGCAGCACTCTGTTGCGAGTCAGGCTATAAGATAGTCGATGTAGCAACATTTACGCATGCTTTAAAAATGTTTTTTATTAAATCAATAAAAAAAACAGCACTAATTAAAAAAAACTTTCTAGTCGTTATAATTGCGGTTTTTTTAAAATTTTTTAAAAAACAAATAAATTTAATGTACTTCCGCATAAATTAATTGCTTTGACATTTCGATGACAATCAAAAACAGCTTAAGAGACGAGGTAATTAAAATTGTAGTCGAAAGAGACTTTTTTTACATTAAACGACTCTTTCGACTACACTATAAGGATATATATATATATATACACATATATATATATATATATATATATATATATATATATATATATATATATATATATATATATATATATATATATATATATATATATATTTGCATACTCAGACATCCCCCCCCCCCCCCCACACACACACACACACACTCAACTGGTGCTTTTAATTTAAGTTAATTCAAATTTAAAAAATGATATAACTTCAAATAAATGTGCAGTATAAAAGGTTGACTTCCAAGTAGAATAGGTTGGTACCTGGAAGTCCATTTTCTCAGACTAGAAAAATAATGTTGTGATAAAGTATTCATCACAACATTTTTCTTTTCTAAAAACTTTTTATTAAAAAAAACTCAGTCAAAATGAGTTTCTTAAAATATAAAGTGGAATTCTGATAACTTCTACTTGGTTGGCCTGACCACTGCTATTTGAAAATGTTCAATACTACTATAACCACTGCTATTTGAAAGGTTTCAATTCTAGTATAATAAAATAAAAAGAAATTTAAAATGAAAAAATAAAAATCTAGTAAAAAAATTCTGGAAATTTTACACATTTAAAAAAATTCAAAAATAAAGTGTTATGAAAAAATAAGAAATAAAAAATGTTTAATTAAAATATATATATATATATATATATATATATATATATATATATATATATATATATATATATATATATATATATATATATATCAGGTCAGGTTTATCCTGCTACTGGTAACATGTAACCCAGTACAATCAGCTTCATGTCCTGCTGCCTTGTAGGATATGCCTTTTTAGGCAAAGACTAGGAGAGGCAAACTCCGACATTAAACCCCCTGCCTTGGGGCTCTTGGTTGAGTCAAGAATAGAGATAGTGTCTCGATAATAATACTCATCTTAGGCAGATGTTAAATGCATCCGGCTGCTGTCTTGTAGAAGGCCTCCTAGGCAAAGACTTAAGGTGTTAACAGATTCTATATGTTGACCAGCCTTGCACCCCTTCTTCATCTATTAGGCTGGCGCAGATGTATTTTTAATACATTGTTTCCTGTTTAGGATGTTGAACGCTGGATCTTCTTGACTCGATGCATGGGTTTTGCTTGTGTCTCTGTTTTTATGACTAGGCAACTCATTCTATTATCTCCAAATGAGGGTACAGCTCTAAAACTCAGTTTTATGGTTCTGAGGCCGGCTGGTAGTCAGGTTTCCTGAACTTTGTGGTAGCTCAGAGAGAGGATGATTCCATCAACAGCTGAAAAATATCAGAGTACTAACAGTGCCATGTTGCACATGGATGGTGTCCCTGTTTGTACATTTGGTGTGCATTGCCAAGGCCACATTGGAGCCCTTTGTTACGGCTTAGGGTTTATATATAAGCTTTCTTCTTACGGTGTATCTGGAAACACCTTTAAGATTATTGAATGCTTCCTTTTCAATCGTAGTATAAAAGTTGTCCTCGATGGACAGCACTCTTATTATTATTCTGTAACCTCAGGGGTTCCTCAAGGTTCAATCCTTGGCCCTATACTCTTTTTAATTTACATTAATGATCTTCCAGATATTCTCACATCTAAGGTGGCATTGCTCGCTGATGATACAACCATTTATTCTTGTCACGATAAGAAGCCAACTCACGCTGATTGCTTGCAGGGGGCATCTGAACTTGAAAAGGATCTCACTTCTGCTACAGCATGGGGCTCACAGCGGCTGGTGAACTTTAATTCAGATAAAACTCAATTTTTTTTCAGCCAATCGTTATCGCAATAATTTAGATCTTCCTATATTTATGAACGGTAATGTACTCGATGAGTCTCCTACCCTTCATCTTCTAGGATTAACTCTTACTTCTGATCTTTCTTGGAAACCTTATATCAAATCCGTTGCAAAATTAGCATCTGCTAAAGTTGCATCTCTTTATCGAGCTCGACACTTTCTTATTCTGGATTTTATTCTCTATCTCTACAAATCTCAAATCCGGCCCTTGGAATACTGTTGCCATATCTAGGGCGGATCTTCTAATGATGTCCTTTCTCTTTTAGACAAAGTACAAAAACGCATTGTAAGCATACATGGACCTGCTCTTGCAGCCAACCTTCAACCTCTGTCACATCGTCGTAATGTTGCTTCTCTTTCTCTTTTCTACAAATACTATAATGGGCACTGCTCTAAAAAGCTAGCGTCTCTTGTGCCATCCACTTAAATTCATTCTCGTGTTACTCGTCATTCAATTAAGTCTCATCCTTTTTCTGTTACTGTTCCTAAGTGCTCCTAAAACTCTTACTCGTCTAGTTTTTTTCCTCGAACATCAGTTCTTTGGAATTCGCTTCCTTCATCTTGCTTTCCTGATTCATATAATTTGCAATCTTTTAAGTCGTCTGTCAATCGTTATCTTGCTCTACAATCTTCATCTTTTCTCTTCCAGTAACTTCCAACACTAATTAATGGTTGCTTGCAGCCTTGTTGGAAGCGAGGATGTTTAATATATATATATATATATATATATATATATATATATATATACATATATATATATATATATATATATATATATGGCAGATAAAAGAAAACTTAAAAATAATACCCAAATTAACCTAGTCAATAAATAAACAAGTCTACAGCAACGTAACAAAAAAATGCTTGTTTTGCCTATATATATATATATATTCATCAAACATAAAGTATATGCTAATGTCAACAAGTTGCTATGGTAACATTACAAAGTTATTGTTTTATAAATTCTAAGAAAATTTTGTTTGACATGGCAATTATAACTATGATTTTGTACCATTAATAAAAATAATAATAACAATTTTGTTTTATATTGGATTTGTTGAAACAATACTTTTATATGTCATCCTTTTAAGTATTGTATTGTTTTGGGACACAGGTGTCTAATAAATTAAGAATTAGAAAATTGGATACCTGCAACCCCAGTACAAAACTCACAAATTCAACAATTTCTTCGTCTCCAAACTCTAGAGTCAACAAACAAACAATAAAGGTAAGAAGCTTAAAATTTGTGTTTGTGTTATTTGCCAAACAGCAGCTTTCATAAATATGGAAACAAAAGTCTTGATTATTCTAAACAAAAATCAAAATAAATAAAACAATAATATAATAATGCATATATAAAACTAGAAATTATGTTAAGATACCTTAAATGATAAGCAATATAGAAAAACAATATATATATATATATACTCTTGCATGGTCTTTGAAATTTTATTTCCATAAACTGTTCTTTTAAATTGAGCACTAATATACCAGACCAGAAAAAGTTAAAAATACTTGTACACTTTCTGCATGTCCTACCCGTTCAAGTCAGCTGGTGTATATCTACACTCCCTCCATATTTTATGTATTTAATTCGGTCAATGTATGTACATTTCTTGTATTGCACCTTGTAATATTATAAATGTAAGTTAAATTTCATAACTTAAACTGCTTTTCTTTAATCCTTTAACAGTCCCGTATTTTTTTAAATTACGGTAACTATTAGTCCAGCCTTTTTTTTTAGTGGTCTCTAAATGTCATGTGTTTTTTTAAATTACGGTAACTTTTAGTCCAGCCTTTTTTTTTAGTGGTCTCTAAATATCATGTGTTTTTTTAATAATAGATTAAAAAAAGTTTTTTTAATTTTTTAACGTTATTAAACACTACATAATATTATTATTTAAGTTTAAGATATATACAAATCATACTAAATAAACACAAAAAATTAAAAATGTATTCACTAATATTCACTTTTGTATGATAGCTGGATAAGCATAGAGCTGCACAAATTCCTACATCACATTCTACACATTCATATCTTGAATCTTTTCCAATTTCGCGTTTGTAACATACCGCACACCCTCACACCTTCACACCACACACCTTCTCTGAGCATTAATCTTTTATTAATCATTCATCAAATATAAGTAAATATTCACTTTTTGATAATGACTTTTGTACAGAAAGAACTTTTCGTATCTGTATCTATTTAAAATTAAAGTGAACACGTGGAAAAGTGAATTATTGAAACAAAAGCTCTTTAATTATGTAATAATAAATTTTGTGACAATTAGATGAATAATTACTGATGAACAAGAAGGAAATATGAGGAGATGCATAGAACTGTAATACTTTAGCATGGATATTTGGGAATCACTTTTAGTTTGCGTAATATTACGGCATAGACTGTTAAATGGTTTAGCCTGATGATGTAAACAAGTATCATTCATGTCTTTGATAAGACTTTATTTTTTTAAAACATAATAAGTATAAGAAAATTATATATAAAGTGTAAACCATGTAAACTATAAAGACAGGATTAGATTATTATCTTGACAAGATTATTACAAGATATCCAAATCAATACTTAAGGATTACAAGATATCAGAATGAATACTTAAGGATTGCAAGATATCAGAATGAATACTTGAAGATTACAAGATATCAGAATCAATACTTGAGGATTACAAGATATCAGAATCAATACTTAAGGATTACAAGATATCAGATTTAATACTTGAGGTAGAAACAGTTTTTTTATATAATCTATATAAATATTTTACTTTTAGATATAGCTAGATATATTTAGATATATTTTATCACAATTAATATTAGCAGTTTTTTTAATTTAAAAAGAGTTCAATAACAATGATGTAAATATCAACTCACTTTGTGGATAAAAGAAGCATCTTGTCTTGAACATTTATCAATATGCCACGTCAAACCTGATTCATTTGAGGAACTAAAAATAAATACCTACTGTTTAATTGCTAAATACAAAAATAGTGACAGGTTCTTTAGCGAGAGTTCTTTAGGGAGGATTTATTAAGGAGGGTTCTTTATGATGGATTCTATTTATTGTAGGTTCAACAATTATTGTTTCTTTTTGAAAAAGTCAAACAAAATGTAATTAATTTAATGTGTAAGTAACACAACATCAACAAAAACAATAGCATATAGCATTTGTAACATATTAAAATATTATATTATAATTAAAATATTAATATTTTATTATAATACAATTATAATATAAAAGTAACATTATAATACTAGCGTAGCTTTGTGATGTTCTAAATTAGAGTATTATGTTATTAAATTTTCATGTACACTAAGATTGATTTAACTATATATCAGGCTTTTATTTTTGTGTTATCCTTATGTTGAAAGTATGCTAGCCTATTTCGCTATTTCATAATGAGGCTGTCAAAAAAACTGTGATGATTGGAGGTTGTGAATGAAAAAGCCATTTAAACCCCATCCCCCCCCAAACATCAACAAGTATTGTAACAAGTTGATAAAAATTATTTTGTATTATTCTCCATTAAACTTATATTCAGCAATAAATTTCAAGTTTTATAGTATTATTTATCAGCATTCAAAAATCATGACCATATAAAATTTGTAACCCCTTCAATTTGGGGGGAGGGGGGGTTAAAATTAATACGGTCATAATTTTTGAACGCTGAGAGATAATACTATGAAACTTAACATTTATCAATGAATATAAGTCTAGTTGAGAATAGTACAAATATATTTCATCAATTTGTTGCTTTGGGGTGGGTTGGGCTAAAATTATGGGGCTTTTTTGTGCCTAGGCTCCAATCATTGCAATTTTATGCAAAGCATCCTTATTTGATATTAATATAAACAAATAAATGTTTGAAATTCGCTCCATGTCTGGAAGTTAGCCCAAGGAGCTCAAAAACCTTGAAGATAAGTTGAATAATTGCATCTCACTTGCCTGTGATTTATTTTTTAGAATTTCAATGATTTAGGTATAATTAGTACATTTTAAGAAGTTGCAATTGAAAAAGTTTCCATATATATCGATGTCCTATAGAAAAATATGTTAAATGTTAACATTATAACCTGTATTAGGAGATGTGTAAATTATTCTGCTTTCTAATTTTACAATTTATTATATTATTAATTAGTATATTAGTAATTTAATAATGTATATTTATACAAATAGCTTAATGATGTAAGCAATTTGAATCCAAGAAAAAAAATTTTGATATAAAAAAATAAAATAGCGTTCACGTGGTAAAAGACTAGTGATCAATCAATAGTGATCAAAAATCCAACCGCCCTTGAAGCCCTCCCAATCCACCCATTACCTCTGAAATTGTTGCACTTAACCTTTTCTGTCTTGTTCTGCTCCTTTTTTTTTCAGGTTTCAGAAATAAGGATTAAGTTAAAGTTAAAAATTAAAAAATGAAAAAAAAAAAGTAATATTGATACAATTTGTATATGCAATGATGATATCATTAAAATGTAATAATAATGGGTAGCCTCCTTAACTGTAGTAGTCCCCCTCTGTCCTCCTCTGGAGCTTGGGAGGTAAATTTTATATATATTAAAAAAAAAAAAAAAACACCATAATTTCTCTAAATGTGAAGAATTTTTCTTTCTATCCAAAAGACTAACAAGGACCATTTGATAGTATACACGAACATCTAAACAAAAGCAAAACCAATTAATTTTACAAAATATTTTTAATATAAAATGTCAATTGAAAAATATTTAAATAAATTATATTGAGTATTTATTTTATTTTGTAATAACATTTTGATTTTGAGACCCAAGAAAATAATTTTTTTCTCAGATACATAGATAAATACAGTTTTTTTTTAGATAATATAAATAATTAACTGATTTAGAAGTTATAATTAATATAGAAGTTATAATTAACTGATTTAGATGTTAATATATTAATAAGTTAATATATTAATATATTAAGAAATTAATATATTAATTATAATATTATAATTGTAATTATAGAAATGTGATAATGTGATACAAAATCCAAAGTACATTAAAAGCATTTTAAATAAATAAGAAATATAGTGCTGAAAAATAACAAATGTTAGGGATCAGCATTAATCACACAAAGGCCAAAAGTCGATTGCAGTTGTTATGAGCTTTTTTGATCAATTAAGGAACCAAAAGAAGCAAACAAAGTTATTTTTAAATTTTTGTTTCAATATTTTGGAGAAAGCAGCTACAACTTCTTTCTCAAACTACATAAATTAAGAACTTCCTAGCTTCAGACCTTAAGCTAATTGATATCATGATATGATCATCCATGGTATGCTTGTGCCTATTGCATTGGTTCATTCTATTTTTTATTATTTTTCCATATGTGGATAGGGGGCATTAGGGGTATTCAAACCTTTAGGAATTTACCCCTTCAATATCAAAAATTAATGATGTATTTCACCACACAAGCAGATGCAAAACTATTTTAATGCCATTAACTTTTTGCTTGTGTCTCTGTTTTTATAACTAGGCAACTCAATTTATTATCTCCTAATAATAATTAAAATAAAATATATTTGGATAAAATACCTTTATCTCAAGAATGCACTCTTTTTGATGTTATTTCTGATCAAATTGACTAAACCCTTTCTCTTTATCCTTCAGCCAATATCATTGCTGTTAATGACTTTAATGCTCATCAAACTGAATGGCCTGAATCAGTGTCAGTGACTCTGCAGGCGTTCAAGTCCACAACCTTTGCCTTTCTCAATCTCTAACAAAAATAGACAACTTTCCAATTTGCTTTCCAGACAATCTAAATCACTTACCTTCTTTACTTGACTTATTTATTCTACTTCTTATTTCTGATACTAGTAGGTGCTCTGTTTCTCAACATTCACCCTTAAGTGCTTTGAATTATGACTTAATCTCTCTAAAAATCTCATTCTTCTTTATCATCAGAATCTCTCGTTTTCCTCTCATTGTGCTGTTGCAATTTCCTTTTAAAAATTTTGTCTAACACCAAAGCCTGCCATTCTCAGGTTACAAAATTTCATCTCAAAAATCAAGTTCCCGAGACTATTGGATAATCTTCAACAGTATCTTTAATAAGGAATAATTTCATCTCTTGATTCCACTAATCACATTCTACTTGATATAGCCAAAAAATAGATTGATTCATTGCTTGACATTCACTCCAGTATCTCTCCAGCTTCTGCATCAAAAGTGATTTCCTGCTTAGACTCTTCTACAGCTTGTAATTTGGACAACATACCTGTTAGAGTCTTACAGAAGTGTTCTCCAGAGCTACCATCTATACTTTCAAAACTATTTAAAAAGTACTTATCAGAGTTTTGTTTTCTCAGCCTGCTGGAAAGCGACATTATCCCTATTTTGAAAAATTCTAATAAGCAATCTGACTCATTTAACTACCATTCATTCCATTAGTCTTCTTATTAGCATGAGCAAGATTTTTAAGTCTTTAATTAACAAACACTTAATCTCTCATCTTGAATCTAATAACTTATATTGTGATCATCATATATGATATAGATTTTGATCTTCTTGTTCTAATGCTGATTTGTTAAAGGTAATAACCAATAGGTTTTATTGTGCATTTGATTGATGTAAAGAAGTTAGGGCTATCGCTCTTGACATTTCTTAACGTTTGGCATGCAAGTCTTTTCCATAAGCTCTCTTCTTACAGTGTATTAGGTAACATCTTTAAGATTATTGAATCGCTCCTTACCAATCGTAGTATAAAAGTTGTCCTTGATAGACAGCACTTTTCTTCGTTTCCTGTAACTTCAGGGGTTCCTCAAGGTTCTATCCTTAACCCTATAAGTTTTTTTCATTAAAATTAACAATATCCCAGAAATTCTTACATCTAACTTAATAAAGGTTTATGTTTTAATAAAGAAAATTTAATAAAGGTTTATGTGTTAATTAATTTAAAAATTTTATAAATGTATTTAATTTTTATATTTTAGTGATTTATTCATTTATTATATATTTTTTAGATGTCAAAGCAAAATTTTATTTCTTACACAGCAAATGGATGGCAGACAAAAGAAACTTGTTTGATTACATCAAAATGCTGAACAAAGAGCTCAAATTTGTCCATAGGCCAATCATCATCACAATCGACAACGACATGTCTCATAAGTGCTTTGAAATGTTTGAGTGGTGCATAGATCATAAAATATTTATTGTCACGTTGATGCATTATACATCTCACATTTTGCAAGTTTGTGATGTAGCACTCTTTGGACCTGCCAAATAAGCATGGAGAAACTAAATTTATAATTGAAGGAATTGACAAAGGAAACACTTGATTATTTAACATTTTCCAAATTGCATAAAGTTGTTGAGGGAAATGATTTTACAGAAGAAGTAATCAAAAACGAACTGGAATAAGGAACTGGAATATTTCATTTTTTATGTCAAGAATTTACACAAGGATCATAAATTGGGAGTGAAACGTTTGATAGATCAGAATGTATTTGATTATTAATGAAATACTACTTGACGATGTTTCAACAATTCCAAGAGATTTGAAAGCCAACTTGCAGGAATTTAAAACTTAAACTTTTTTTTTATAAATTATTTATTCCTTTATTAATAAGGATATATAAAATCATATATTTTTGAATTGTAAAAGCATTTTGTGGATTCTATTAATGCAGTTTAAAATCTTATTACACAAGATATCTTTAAGAAGACATCAATTGAAAACAGACACTAACTAATTATATTCCTGATATCTCATTTTTTTTCTAGATTTTTATTCATCCTATTTCAAATTAACAAATTGGTCTACAATAAACATAACATTCATGCTAACACAGGATTTATATATTGCCATCTACAATAAACATAAAATTTAGGTTAACACTTAAAAGTGTTCCTTTAGTAAATAAACCTCTTTAAACAGTTATGCAAATCAAGTCAAATTAATTTAACTTCACAAGTAATGCATTAACATTAAAGACTTAGTCATTGATGTTTAATAAGTGATAAATGCTTCAACCACATAAAGGTTTTTTACCTGCATTATTAAGTAGCAGACCAGCAAGCAATGCATCCAAAAATTTGGAAGAAAATGTTGAAGTAAAATGCTTTGTTTGATGACTTTCTGCAACCTAATTACAAGAACACCAATACATAATATAATATATAAATTTATTGAACAATAAAAATTAGATTCTTTTTCTGACGTTATACAGATTTAATAACTAATATATATATATTTAATAATTAATATATTTTTAATCTCTCTCTTTCTCTTTCTCTCTCTCTCTGCCAGTAGGTTCATTAAGTTCATCAAAGGAAATAAGACTTGATTTTTTAACAAAACTTAAAAAAATAAAGTAAAATACCTTACCTTAAGTAGACATTTTAATAAGCTTAACTGCAGCATTTCTTCTGATCCATCTCTGCAAAAAAAGTAAAAAAAATATATTAATTTATTCTAGAGACTAAACACCTCAAAAACAGAGTATGAAAATTCATATTTAAAAAAAATCATGCTACAGTAGAAAAGTTATAAATAAAAAAATTTTAAAAAATGCATTAATCATCATATGATTTTTAATAAAATTTTAATTGTGGGACACATTCTAGTATGTGTTCTGAAGGTTGTTATTTGAGCACTTGTCCCATACTACTACGGGTTGGTGTAACAACATGGTTTGTTTTTTCTGTATTTCATCAGTATTTCAGTATTTAAAAAAAAAACAATTTAAATTTGAAACTAATCTTTTATTTATCCTTGTGAAGCTGCTGCGAAACGTGCCTGCAAGCAATGTTTTAATTGTAAGCAGGACTTAAGTCTTGATTTTGAGCTTTTCTTTTAAAATTTTCTGCTTTTTGTGATCTTACTAAACTTGCTTAAATAATAAAAAAAATAATTTAATTTCATACTCGGCAAAAAAAAAAAATTATTTGAATTTAAATATATTTAAATATATATATATATATATATATATATTATATATATATATATATATATATATATATATATATATATATATATATATATATATATATATATATATATATATATATATATATATATATATATATATAAAGAATATAACTAAATTAATAAAAAAAACTTACTCAGATGTGATTCCAATATCCCGTTCAGCTTCACTATGGTTTCTTGTTTTATTTAGTGATGGCACTTTTAAAATTATAAACAGCATGACATCAACTCGTTGGTAGTCGGCAAGTATTGATGAAAATGCGCCTGAATAAGAATGCAACAAGATAACAAGAGATAACATGAAACATTACTATGATATCAGTTAACAATTTTCTGTGTTGGCCATCTTATTTACATTTTAATAATCTTGAAAACTTGTTCAATTTTTCTCAAAGTATCTTTATAATATCTTCTATAAGTTTCTACATTTAGTCAGAGAAAACAGTAAAAGTGCATTTAACATTTTATTATAAACATGATAAAACTATAGGTATCAATTCTATTACTCTTTGTTAAACAAAAAATATAAATACCATAAAAATATTTATATAATAATCAATTATATAAAAATTAATATTAATTTTATTTAGCATATATTAGCATATATTACTTCATAGCAAATTATTATACCATTTATCATTATACAACTATATAAATAGGTTTTTAACAACTGTCAGCTCCAATTTCTTCAACGTCTTACATACTAATGGATGTTTACATACTTGTTATAAAAACATATTTTTAAATAATTATAAAAAAACAGTACTTACACAGACACCCTAACACCTTAACACCCTCCAACAACAACTTATTATCTTTAATGTGTTTCTACTTATCAAATTCAAAATTATAATCCTCCAAAAACTTGTAAACTGTAAAAATTATGAAGTAGAAATGAATGGCTACTAAAAATAAACATCATGCCATGGTACCACAAGCACAACCACCTCAACTACCGCTTATATACTGTTTAAATACTACAACACCAGTAAAATAAATTCAAAATTAAGTTAATTATAAGCAAAATCAAAATTATTATTAAATTCAAATTATTAAAACAATAAAAAATTACACAAAAAAAGAATTTACCTGCAGCAGTAATAATAGCTTTCTGAAGAAGTTTTTCTTTATTATCTGGTGGCTTAATTGGAATAGTAAAAATAATTAGAAATAATATAAGTAATTAGAAAAACCAAATTAAAACTATATTATTGCTTAAGAACAATAATAATTTGTTTTTTATGTAACACATGGTAGAAAAAAAAGTTTTAAACAAAACATAGTAGATATGTAAAAACATAGCAGATGTGTAAAATCACAACCATAGATTACACAAATAAAAAAAAATAAAAAAAAAAAATGTATCATAAAACCTTCATATTTATTAAATGTTTAATTTCAAACATAATGTAAAAATATACTAGATATGTAAAAACATAACCTCAAAAAGATGCACTCTCAAAACCTTTATATTTTTTATATGTTTAATTTTAAACATAGCTTTTAAAAGTAGTTAAAAATTAGGCTTTTAAAAGTTGTACCTTAGAAGTAGACATAATATCTATAGATATCTTCAAATGCTTTAGTAAGGTATTAAAAACTTCCAAAATGGATGGTCCTAAAATAAAGAGGTTTTACAATAAAAAAACTATGCAATCACTAAATAAAATATTATGCAATGTCTTGCTTACTAACATGATTTACTAAAATACCAAATTATCCAATAAAAACTTATTTACAATAGAAAGATTATTAATTAATCTAATGAAAGATTAATAGGTGATTGACAAAAAAAGAATATTACCAATTGAACCACTGGTAGCAATTTTTACAGAAGCCGACAACATTTTTACAATGCTTGCTTTCATTTCTGGTTGACTTCCTTTATGTTTATCAAGATGAGACAATAGAATCTCTATTGCACGATATGAATATTGATTCTAAAAATCATTTAATTTAGAACAATGTGAATATGGATTCTTTTTTCTTAAAAAAAAAAACAATTTAATTTTCACAATTTTTGACTTAATAAATGAAGAGCTTAGTGCTAAAAGTCACAAAAATCTATTTTGATCAGCTATTTTAAATAACTCTTTTAAACTATTATATCAGTGATCGAAGTTAATTAGCATATTTTAATTAGCATTAATTAGCATAAATTAATTTGACTTTCCCTTCAACTGCAAATTGATACTTTAAAAAATGCAAAATTAAAATCTTAAAAAATTAGAATCACTTGAATAGAAAACATGACTAGTCGAAATATATGCAATGGAAATTCATTCTTCAGCCACAAACTTCTGTCATCCATGAAGCTAAACAATTGTAATGTAACAATATTTAATAGATTAAATAAAAATATCAAAAGCTAAAAATACTTTTTAATTGTAAATACAATAAATTTCTGAAAAAAATAAAGCTAAATTAATTATTTCAAATTAAAAAAAAATGCAAAAAAGCTTATTAAAATTATATATAAACAAAAAAAAAAAAAAAAAAAAATGAAACAAAAATAAAACAATTTCAAGAAAAAACAACATCAGTTACATATAATTATAAATAAAGAGAATACGATATTACTGATAGCTAACATTTAATGTTAACTTACGTTAGTAATGGAGATAAAATTGCAGCAATATTATTGAATCCAGCTCTTGTCACAAGCTCACGCAAACACAAATCTGCTAACTGTGCAGGATCTTCCTTTTGTCCTGTATTAGTACTTGATTGAGATGCCACATCAGTCGTAGATTCTCTCAAAAGTCTGTCAAAATTAAATTAAATACCAAATAAATTAATAATTTTAAACTAATTATGATAATTAATGTATGATAATCAAACAAAGTATTTATTTATTAGACTTTCTTTTTTTATTCTTTCATTTTAAGCCTTTAACAAATTTTCTTTTAATAAAAGCTAAAAGGTCTGAAATTCAAAAATATTGTAGTATGCATTATTATAAAATATGCACTATTTTACAATAATGCATACTACAAATCGTCCATAAATTATGCAACGCAAAATATATTTAAAAAACAGAAGTAGGAGATATTAAGAAATTTTACGCAACGATTTTCATTAAATTTAAAGGGGTATTGTGATTTTATATTCAAATTAAGACTCTGCAAGAGAAAACTTTTGATCTCTTTTGTTTTGTTTATTGTAAAAGTTTGTGTTACCTAATTTGTGGACAATCCCTAAACATATTTATTTTACATTAGAGTTACAGACTTTTTTGATTTTGCATGTATTTCCTCTTTGATAAAATATGTCTTTATGAAAAAAGGGCATTCTGAGTATTATCTTTTAGAGATAACCGTAATTTAGTGAGAGTGTTGCCACTAGCCAAAAATCAATAGAACTGCTATCAAATAAAACACTGCTTAAAGGGAATTAAAGTTAAAGTTTCTCTACTTGCTGAGTTGAGCTGAGCTATTTATTTAATCAAACTATAACACTTATAATAGCTAATTTGCTATAGACACCATAGGATTACTATATCTGTCCACAACATCTGTAGAGTAGTCCAAAATCATTTGTTCTTTTTTGTTCAAGATCATCTCTATTTTTTTTTTTACTCCAACAACATCTGTCTAGTCATTTGGAAATTCAACGACCCCTAACAACATCTTTAGGAAGATGTAACTACATCTGGTAACTTTTATCCAAGTCCAAAAACATCTCGAAAAATTTCTTCCAGATGTAGTTATAGAAAAATTACTTACACAGATGTAGTTATACTAATGCAGTTATTCTTACACAGATGTATTGATACTGATGCAGTTATTAATAATATACATATTGTAACATACATATCAAAAAATCTATAAAATTCAAGATGTAGTTGCACAGATCTTGCTACACTTAGATAATTGCAAAGATGTGACTATGTCTGTAATACTTTTTACACAGATGTTATTAGACATCAATGAGATTTGGAATGTTGATGGATATATTTTATTATACCTTAGTGTATTTACAGATGTTGTTGGACAGATGTAGTTATACCTCTTTATATATACAGATGTTGTCGGACAGATGTTATTAGACATAGCAAAAACTGATGCCATTACCCTAACCCAATGGTTCTTGTACAGCTAGATAGTAAACGGGTTTCATTATGAACAACAGCCAACAACAGCGTTGCATCATTTTTAGGACATTACTACAAAAACCAATTTCACTGACACAAAATATAACACAACAGAAAAAATTGTGTCAAACTCGTTTATCTTAATTTTAGACTCAAGGCCTAGCAGGGGCTTGCATATGCAATTTTTCAATTTTATAAAATATTTAAACATTGTGTGAAAACTACTTCTGCAAGTTTTGCAGTTAAGTATTAATGGAAGAACTTCACCAAATTAATACAAATTCACAAATACTTTTTTGGAAGGTTTGATCATTTTTTTGTACAAAGTGCATACCTGGTGGGTGTACACCAGGTAAATACTATTCACAAAGCAAAACAAATATATATAAAATATATATGTTTATAAAAATAAAAATCAATGTCATTAAAAATACGAAAATGTAGAAAATGTAAAAATAGAAAATTTGAAATTTTTATAAAAATATAAATGAAAAAAGAACATAAGAATAAAAGCTATTTACACAAAGATTTAAAGATGAATTTGAAATTAAAATTGATCTATTATAGATGTAATATATTTATAACATTACAACGAACGTGACTTGAACATGGATAGTTAGCATCTTAAATGAAAAAGTAAAAATGCAGTATTGTATCATTCTTGATAATATAAATATGTTAAAAACATAAAATGAAAATAAGGCAGCCCACTTAAAAATAAACATTTAAAATTAAAAATGTAATAAAAACTACATTACAAAACAGTAAAAAAAAATTAACACAAATTAACACTAACCCTTCTGTGTCCAATTCAATATTATACAGTAATGCTGGGACAATCTTACTCATGTGTGCAGCATCCCAGATATTTGCCTTAAGAGTATAAGATTAGGTTGAACTTTAATATCATGGTAAAATAATTATGTATTATAATTGTAGTATATACATTATGATTGTAATATATACAATATGATTGTATTTATGCATTATGCTTGCAATTGAAATTGATTTTAATATAACTTAATATGTATTAGAATACAAAAAATCTAAAACCATATAAATCATATAAGACGAAATAAAAATTACGTATGACTTGGATTTAAAAAAAAAATTCACTCTTAACTCTATCAGTAACTAATTAATTTATGATAATTTAGGTTCATCTTAACTTAACCAATTCAATACTATACAGTAATGCTGGGACAATCTTACTCATGTGTGCAGCATCTCAGATATTTGCCTTAAGAGTATAAGGTTAGGTTGAACTTATTAAAATAATTATGCATTAAGATTGTAATATATGTATTATTATTGTAATATATACAATATGATTGTATTTATGCCTTATGCTTGCAGTTAAAATTGATTTTATATAACTTTTATATAACTTAATATGTATTAGAATGCAAAAAATATAAAAACTATATAAATCATATAAGACGAAATAAAAATTATGTATGACTTTGATTTTAAAAATTTTTTGCTCTTTTAACTCTATCAGTTTCAAACTGATTAATTTATGATAATTTATTAATTTATGATAACTTAGGTTCATCTTATCTTAATTAGTAACCATTATTCACCAATATGCCAAACTAATTTTGATCTTAGCTTAGAAAGCCATGAATATTTTATGTTCTAAAATTAATTTTGAATAAATTAACTAAACACTGGAAAGATTGCAACAGTAATTATTTAACATAATTAAATAATTGTTAGAGACCAAAACACAACTTATTGTAGCTATATACCATATAAAAAAGAACTTAGATTAAATTAACTAGACATTGATGTATTAAAGATAAAACACATACAAAAAAGAGGTAAATGAATAAACTTTGTTTAAATAATATTTTTTTGCATACATACCTTGATATTGTTAGTTATTATGTTTAAATTACAATGTTTTCAGTTTAGATTCACAAACCAATAAAGTTCAAATAAAAATATAAAAAAATAATTTAAAAAAATTGTTTACTTTGCAAAGATTTTAAACCTGAAGGTCATGTGACTAATGTTAGAACAAAAGGTATATATACCTTAATTCATTATTCACATGTAATACAATGAGCAATGCTAAAAATCTTAAAAAAAAATTGAAGGAAAAAGACACAGTAACTGTACATGGGACATGCAGGCATGATTTCTAAAAGCTGAGAAAAGTGAAGAAATGTTAACAAAAAGCCTTAAAATTTAAAGCTTTTCTTCTGTGAGTTATTTTCTTATATCTACTTAATCTTGTGCTTCTTCATATAATTATTTATAATTTTTAAATATATTTAATTATGTATGTATGAAATGGGGAGTTTTACACCAAGTTTCTCATATAAATATGTTTAATTTCTAACTATTTCATATAAATATGTTTAATTTCTAAATATGTCTAATTTCTCATGTAAATATGTTTAATTTCTTATGTCTAATTTCAGACAAACTAATTTATTTTGATAGGGTGCCCCTCATATAGATACCTTTGCGACCATAAATGTCATATAAATACTTTCAATTGTCTTTAATCAACTCATTATGTGGTTTTCTACTAAAGATATCTTACTTCTTTAGGTAAAGCAAAACATAAACTTACTTAGTAAAAAATATGCATTTGTAACTTAGACCATTTCATTCAACAAGATGCACACTTTTTTATTTGTTGAAACATAGCTTTGCCCAATCCTAAACATTGTGGTATATTATTTATATACATTCTATATAAGATTTAAACAAAATATGACAATAATTTAAACAAAAACTTTTGAAGAAAGAAAGATAAATGAGCTCATTTATCTTTCTTATTAATGTTAAAATCTTGTTTTGATCTGGTTACTAGCTATTCTATATGTCACTTTAAAAATTACGAGGTATTTTCAACCAACAGGGAGCATGTTAGATCAATTTGAATTAACATCTTCTCGTAATTTTTATCTTCATTTTTACATCTCAAAATTTATGTTATACTTCCACAAGCTGTCTATTACTTGTGTTAATATGTAAATAACTTATTAATAATTTTTAAAGCCATAATGTGTTAATATTTTGTGCTGTGAATAAAAACAATAGACTAATAAAGTCAGAAAATGTAAACAAAATGATTTGAAATTTTTTTGTAATAAAGTAAAACATTGATCCATAATGATTGAACTTTTCCTTATGTGTAATTTTATGTTTTTTATGCTGCTTAAAAAATCCCCAATATATTTTCAAGTCAATATTGAGTAAAACAGAAAAGCCTGGTCACAAAGAAGAAACTTCTTTGGTTTTTCTTTTAGCTATCATGAAAAAGACTTGTGTCTATTGCTTTATCTCTTTATGAAACAAATTAAACAAATTAAAACAATTTTCTATTGGTCAAACAATAACAAAAGCTATTTAATTGTATTTTTATCTTCAGCTTTTGCTTTTCAGATTTGAAATAGAATTAGACTAGACATCTGGATCAAAATGGTTGACCAATTAATTTTGCATAAATGACATGTTTTAATAGCAATGTCTAGGAGTACATTATGCAGGCTTGGTCGGGAAGCGGGAGCGATCGCTCTCGATTGCTGACCACGTAAATAATATTTAGTTGCGAAAAGCTGGCCAGATTTTTTAGCCGTTTTGAGAACATTTTAAAAAGCAAAAAAAAAGCGATTAAGATTAATTGGACCAATGAGAGACAATTACAAAAAAAAAAAAAAAATAGGCAAATAAAATATCTTTAAACGCGAAAAAACTCAAAGCTAAAAGAATTACATTTAGAACAAATATTTTCGAAACATCGCTCTTTTACAATTTTTTTTATAAAATTAAGCGATGTTTTTTATATAAATTAACAACTTACGATTGTTTAAAAGGAAAACAAATATTCTTTATTTAACTAAGTTTGCAAGTTTTAGTTTTACTTAAGCTAAATTATTTTATAAATAAAAAAATTAATTTTTTTAATACCTATTTCATGTTTCGCGTAGTTTGAAAAGCTTAACATATTTGAAGCGATTCTTCTTAGTAAGATAAACAAAAATAAAATTACTTTAAAATACTTAACGAACAGGAAGCGAAACTGCTTCACAATAACGCTAATGACGTTTAGTGAGTGGGCTTTTTAATTTTAATTAGTATTTTAAGCAGAAAAAAGTGTGGCGAGTTTTAAGAATGGCAACTTAAGCGAAAATAATTAGAGTTAGTAAACCAATATCTAGAAACTTTTCTTCATATCTAATTATTTGTTATATATATTTGTGTTCTGTCGTGACCTCAGGCGCGATGCTTGTTCATCCGCGAGTTACTTTGTATGCGTTGTTTGTGTTTAGTAACCAGAAACTTCTTATATGTTTGTTACATAAATAGTTTTATTAACTTTAACGAAAAACATTTATTTTCGTAAACAAATAATATGTATTCTTAAAACAATTCCAGAAATCTCAAAACATAACAATTCGTGAATACAATTTCTAAAACATTTTCTAGAAATTTATTTCACTTAATCAGAGTATTTTTTGAACCAATAGAATTAGTTTTTCGTTAATTTGGCGGGTTTTTAGAGTTCGCAAACATTCTTTTTATTCTTTCGCACAAAGATGTTTTGAGAACATTCAAGTTTTTTATGTTTCCATTTATGTCCGTAAAACAAAAATTTTTTGTTTCGTACATAAACCTAAATGTTCTCAAAACGACTAAAAAACCTGGTCAGTTTTACGCAACTAAATATAATTTCCGTGGTCATTATTCGAGAGCGATCGCTCCCGCTTCCCGACCAAGCCTGATTATGAATTATTAATTTTATAAGCAGTACTGTAAATCGTAATAAAAGATAATGCTAATGTCAATATCATGGAATAAAATACATGACTGCCTGAAGGTTAAGAGTGCAAATAGAACAAATACAGTGTCAAAGTTTAGAGTACAAAATACAACTAAAAAAAGACAATATCAATACTAATAAAAACAGAAAAATGACTAAAGAAAAATGTAAGAAAAATGTTTTTTAATTAACAAAACACTTCTAAAGTTTGTTTCGAATTTTGACTTTATTTTAAAGTATATTAGTCACATGTAAAAATGAAAGAATAAAGTTTTACATTAATGCCAAGAAAAAAATCTGTTACAAAATACACGAAAATTAAAAAAATACATAAAGCACAGGGTGTTGAATTTATATTTATTTAACTGATATATAACTTATAAGAATATATTTCCATAATATCAGTGTTGTAATGTCTTGTTTCAGACTTATAAACTTATTAAAAATTAAATTATTAATTAATTTTTTGACGAAAAGTAATTGAATTTTTGGGTTTGAGGAGGTATTTGAATATTTTATTTAAAATCTTTTGTTCAATTAGGATGCAGTCAGAGTGGATATAAATGTTTTTGAAGTTTTTAAACAAGGCAAGATTTTTTAGCTATGGACAAATTTGGTGTTTTTGGTGATGTTTACAATTGCAGAATTATATTTAGTAAGTTTGTTGTTGAATTAGGTTAAGTAAAATGCTGTTAGTTAAGTTGTGAAGACCTGTTTCCTTAAGTTTAATCATAATTTTTTTTTTTTTTTTTTTGACTATTGCCAAGATATATTTAAGAGTTTGTGTTAGGAACTTACCAACAGCAAAACAATGGAAACATACACATAAAAAAAAATTCTATAAAGAAACACATCTTTTTCAAGTGTGACCTCTTTTTAATGAGTAGAAATGTAGAAATGAGAAAGAAAAAAGGATTTAAAAAAATTTTGTTTTGATTTTCACATTTTTAAAATAACAGTAAAGTTAATACCTGTAAATCGTCATTGACTGTTTTTCGAACAACACCCTGCAAGCCATACAAACCTGACAGGCGAACACTTTAAAAACATAATTAAAAACAATTAAAAATATCAATAATATTTATAAAAATTTAATATACTTATTTAAATATCTAGGCATCATTCCACACCAAATCAGCAACCACTCGTGTGACTTTATGCTTTTAAGTTTGTTTTCACATAAGTAATTTTTTTAATTTTTTTAATTTTTTAATTTTTATAAAGTTTTCACATAAGTAATTTTAAGACTCAAAAAATTAAGTAAAAAAATTTCAGCATTTTTATTACTGTTAAAATGCCTTCTGTTATTCAAGTTTTGTTTCTCTGTGAAACCATTTAATTTATGTGACATTTAATTTATGAATAAACATGTAAATTTAAGCAATAAATTACCAAAACATATGATTAAGCAAAATAAACAAAAAAAATTTTTTCTCCACTAATTTGTCACTGAGAGCAAAAAGTTCTATTAATTTTTTGGAACGTTTTTGTATTTTGTTTAAATTTTATATTTTGTATATAGTGAATAATAAATTGAAAAAAACAAAACAAAGCTGACATAAAAAAAGTTATAAAGTGGACATAAATAAACAACCTTCTTTCTGTAGTTTTATTTTCATTGCTACCATAGCAGAGTTGACTAAAACGTGAAATAAAAAACTCATAACGCCTGTGGTACGAAGGTGTGTCTTCCTCTATATTAGCAAACTTCACAAACTAATAAAAAAACTTTAGCTAATTAATTTTATGTTTTAATTTATTCTGCCAATTATAAGAACACCTATATAAAACATTATATGTATTATAAAATTATCATATGCTTTTATAATATTATTATTATATTATATACATTATACTACTATACTATGATACTACAATTAAATTATTATGTTTGTGTATGTTTGTACACCTGTGTGTTTTGAGTGTTTGTGCATGTGTGTACATGTGTGTGCATGTTTGTATGCGTGTTGAGCATTTGTGCATATCTGTGTATGTGTGTATGTGTGTGCATGTTTGTACGTGTGTTTGTGCGAGTGTTGCGTTTTTGTGCATGTTTGTGTATGTGTGTCTGTGTTTGTGTGAGCATGTTTGTACGGGCATGTGTAAAAGAATTGTTAGTATTTTGAAACAACAAAGCAAGACTTTTTAAATATTTCAAATTCAATTACCAGTTGAAACAGTCGATTCAACAAGTTGAATTGACTAGTTAAAGTAGCAGTTGATGTAGACTCAACTTGTTGAATAGACTACTTTAACTAGTATTGAATTGCATTAGTATTGTTTTCCATACTTTCAAGTAAAATTCTTGTTATACAAATTTTTTTTTTTGATTTTACATTATACTTGTTATTATTCAGGAAACACATTCTTTATTGAAAACCTTTTTTAAATGTTTGCATGGCACTGATGCTATGACTCTTTAGTCTTTACTTTTCAGATTCAATATATCATAGTTATGTTAGTCTCAGCAAGAAAGATATAGCACGCTCTTGATCAAACAACTATTGGTATATTATTATTAAAAACTATGTTCAGTCACTAGCACATTTGTTGAGAGGACACGTTCTCTGTTACAGCTATATATATTATATATATTACTATATATATTACTATATATATTATATATATTACTATATATATTATATATATTACTTCTCTGTTACAGCTAGTTTGTTTATATTTCAATATATCTTTATTATTTTCAATATATATTTATATATCAAGCATTTCAATGAGAAAGTTTTCTTTTTTGAAACCAATACTTATATTACTTGTTTGAATTGCATTGACTTTCTGATAATTTTTGTCATTTCTAAAGTTTCAAACTGATTGTTCAAAATGTTTAGAACTTCAGTTTTATTTGATAAAAGTTCGCTCTTAAAATTTATGAATGTTTTTTTCTTTGTAGTTGAGAGAAGTAAAAGTAAAATTTGTTATACAGGCTTAAATTATATTAAATTAAAATATATATAAATATATATATATATATAAATTATATATATTATATAAATTATATATATATATATATATATATATATATATATATATATATATATATATATATATATATATATATATATATATATATATATATATATATATATATATATATATATATATATATGTATATATATATATATATTTTAATAAAAATCACAATATTTTTTATTCTTGACATGTTTTATAGTCTTACTACATTTTCAAAAGATTTAATTTACAATTAAAACTCTGGTAAATAAATTTAAAAACTGAAGACAATACAGAGAAAAAATTAACGGACAAATAAACTTGTTACAAACCAATTAAAAATTATATTACAAATTATGACAAAATGAACTTCCTAATATTAAAATATTAATAATAATAATAATAATAATAATAATAATAATAATAATAATAATAATAATAATAATATAGTAAGTTAGATAGATAAATTTATAATATAATGAGATGTTTGTTTATTTAAAGAAGGATTTTCCCATTTAATATGAAGTGCTTCTTTTATTTTTAATTTGTTAAGTAGAGGCAATATCCAAAATCTGAAAGCAATCATAATTAGTGTTTTACAATTAATGGATGAATTTAAGTGTTTAAAAATATGCGATTGCTTGTCACTCGTAAGATGCTCATTTATCCTTGTTGTCAAATGTCTGGAGGTTTCTCCAATATAACTGACGTTACAGCCAGCACAAGAAAATTTGTAGACAACGTTAGATTTAAGCATCTTAGAAAGTGGATCTTTTATGCAAAAACTGTTTTTTAATTTACCGGTTGTGAATATAAATTTGATTATTACATTTTTAAAATACTATTTAATAATTTTATCAATTTTAGTTTTAGTGAAGTTTGAGTAAAATCCAATAAATGGAAGCTTAAAATATCTTATATTAGTATTATCAACAGTATTTATAACAGGTGGATTAATTTTTTTTTCAACATATAATTTAATTTCAGTGTCGATAACTTTTTGTGGAAATTGATTATTTTTTAAAACTAAAGAAAGATTTTTTATATCCTTATCAAATCCAAACCACGTGTTGTTAATTTTATATATTCGATCAATCAAGCAACGTATAAGACCAGTTTTGTAACATGAAGGGACAAAACTAAAGAAATTTTGTAAAAGACCGTGTATGTTTTTTTGTGATAAACTGATGTAGAGAGTGAATTAGACTTATTAATAAGAACATCCAAAAATGGAAATTGTTTTTCTTTTTCTTTTTCCATAGTAAATCATAAGTTTTTGTGTTGTTTATTGAGATAAACACCACAAAAAAAATTGGCGCTAAAGGAGAACCCATTGCAACGCCATCTGATTCGTAAAGTGTCACTTTAAAAACGCCATCTAATTGATCATAAAATTTTATGATCAATTAGGTGGCGTTGCAATGGGTTCTCCTTTAGCGCCAATTTTAGCTAATATGTTTATCGGTTTTCATGAACAAATGTGGGTTAATTGCTCATTTTTTGAACATCCTCCATTTTTTATAAACGTTATGTGGATGACATAATAGCAATTTTTAATTCAGAGTTTTAAGCGCAAGAATTCTTTAAAAATTCTTTGATTCTAGTATATTAAATAGTTTTTTTTAATATGTAAAGTGAGAGTTTCTTAGGAAAATAAAGGAAAATAAAGGTTATGCATAAGTTAGGTCGAAAAGTATACAACTTAACCAACTAACAACTAAACTAGCAGTAACCTTCCTTAGTTTTCCTTAGGGAGTGACACTTTACAAATTTTTGAAAAAATAACTATTGAATTTATCAAGATGGTACAACTGGAATCCCAAACCGTTGTGTTTAGTATACAATTTTTAATTTCACTTTTACAAATCATGGTTTAATATTGAATTAAAAGGATGTGATAATTTTATAAACTAGTGAAGAGGCGTTAATGGATCAACAAACATTATGGCATAAAACATTAGGTAATATTTTTATCAGAATATTTTATTGATTTTAGAAAATGAAGCTCCAACCGAGAAGTTTAATAATTAAATATTGTTTATTTTTGCTGAAGGAGTGCATGTCATTGTAGATGAAGTCATTACAAATAATTCAGAAGTTACAGTGGACAAGCAACTGTGTACACAGCAGCCACAATCTTCACCAGTCAGTAGTTATTTGATTAATTTTGAAAGGGATGATAGTAATTATGAACCAAGCTCTCATGAACTGACAGCTTCGGAGTCTGATTCACAAATAAATGGAAATGACAGGAAATCAGTCAGCCATATTTAAACGCAAAAATTAAAAATGCAATAAAAATCAAGCAATCTGGAAAAAAACAAGTAAGGCTTGAGAATTTATGGTTATGCAACAAAAGAAAAACAAACAGGCTTCAGGAGAAGCATACACAAGCAATAGAGGAAAGACTATTTCAAAAAGGGAAATCAGACTACCCAGCTCATGTAAAATGACATGTTATGAAAAAATTACTGACATACAAGAGATGGAAATACTTAGAAATTACTGGAGTTCGGAAAGAGACAAGGACGGTAACCGCCAGTTTATTATTGCATCTGTAAAATCAGAAAAGCCAACTATTCATTGAGCTAAAGCAAAAAAAACAAAAGCAAAAAATGTTAGTTTACATGTTTTTTATCAATGATAATAATAATAATAGAGTATGCAAGGTTATGTTTTTGAACACTTTGTTAATTTCTATTATTGCAGTGAATACAGCCCTAAAAAAAAACGTTTATCAGATGGACTGATTGAAACCAATGGCAGAGGCAAACATGAGCCAAAGAATTAAACTCCTCAAACTGTGATTGACAGTCACTAATCATATTTCCTCATTTCCATCTTACGAGAGTCACTACAGTAGAGAGACGAATTCAAAATGATTCCTGTCATTAGAACCAAGTATTAAAAGAATGTATGGATTGTATATTGAAGAATCTAAAGAAAAGAATCTTGAGATGATTGCAAAAAAACAATATCTACAAAAACAATATAATATATATATATATATATATATATATATATATATATATATATATATATATATATATATATATATATATACACAATAACAAAGGAAAAGAGTCCAACAAGGTTATGGGTATAGAATGACAGAGAGGAAACAGTATTTTAAAAAATATTTTTGATGCAGGTTACAAAAAAAAAATATTCCAATATTTTTAACAAACATTTTAACCTGGGATTCAAGCCAACACAGAATAATACCTGTGATATTTGTGGCACTTTTGTGGCTGCAAAAAAAAAACATAAACATTGAAAATATACAAAAGAAGCATGATGCTTATCTTACAGATGCAAACGCTAAATATAAAATGAAGAGCGCCTCTGCTCATCATTTTATATTTAGCAACACTGCTCAAGCAAAAACAAGTTATAGAGTTTTGACTATGGACTTACAAAGGTGTCTCCTAACGCCTATATTGACTTGTGGCACCTTATTTTAAAAAAGAAAATTATGGACCTTCAATTTCAGAGTTTATGATTTGTGTGACAATACTGCTCATTGCATGATGTAGGACAAAATCAAAGCAGGACAAGGGGGAGAAAAAATTTCTTTTACCTTGCTAACCTGGGCAGAAGCAACACTTACAGGATCTAAAATTGAAATAATAACAATTTGGTCTGATAATTGTTACAGCCAAAATAAGAACGTAATAATAATCAGCTGTTATTTTTGGATGATAACCACAATATATTTGGATGATGGCCACAAATTAGGGAAATCAATCACAATTTTTTATTAAAAGGCCATACACACATGGAGATAGAAACTATACATGCTGTGATTGAAAAAAAAAAAGATTGGTTCAAAATTCCTTAACTATTTTAATTCCAACTCACTGGCAACAGTTGGTGAGACAATGTTGAAAAAAATAGTGGTCCATAACATGGAGCTCAATAATTTTAAAAACTTAAACTGTTCTCTGCTTCAGGATCACCTTACATAAACAGGAAATTGAACAGTGATAAGAGATCATTTCTAATTTCCTAATGTGCCCACTTTCAAGTTCGCCAAGAAAATATTAGTATTTTGTCCTATAAAAATTCATTCAGTAACACAGATTCTAATTTCAAAGAAATTTGTCTCAAAAGAAGATGAGGAAGTGTTCTGTCTGACCTGCAGCTATTCAGGGAGACTTTAAGGCCAAATAAAAATATAAGGATAAAAGTATAAGGATTTAATGGATCTTTTGGAATTTCTACCGAAATGTGAGCGCCATACATTTTATAAAAGCATTAAAACCAGCAATAACATGGAAGATTATCCTGAAGATAAAGACGATTATCGATTTTTTAAAAATTTCTTATAGTATTATTATACCTTATTAATTCTATTAATAAGTTATAATTACTATTATAAATATAATACCTTATTAATTTTAATAAATATAATATAGTATAAGTATAATAATATAAATATTAATTTTACCTTATTAATTTTAATATAAATACTATTATAAATATAATACCTTATTAATTTTATATAATTATATTGTTTTACTTATGTACCTCCAGTATTTGCTTATAAACATTTTTATTTTTTGATTAGATTTTTTTTTTTTGTAATGGGGTGTACTACACTATGTTACATAAAATTACTATGCTGTTACAGTAATTAAGGCAAATTCGGAGGTTTTATTAGTTAGATTGGCATAGATTAAGCTCTATTATAAAAATTATTAGTTTTAAGTGAATTGCTGGCCAAAATATAATTATTATAAAGTAGAGAAAGACTTCACACTCAAACCGCTCTACTAAAAAGTTGATAATAATGACATAGTGCAGTTTACCTCCCAGGTCCAGATAAATATAATAAATTTAAAAAAATAAGAACAAAATTAAATCATCATACTGAGCTGGATGCACAAATCTGAAGACCAACAATATTTGATTCCAGTAGCATTGAAACCATTTTAAGAAAACTTTCAACAAACAAGTTTAAACTGGAAGAGCGGCATGCAAGAAGTAAATTATCCATTGCTTCCATAGCTATGTAAACAAAACTAAAACAAGATTTTATTAAAGGCTTTATTAATTACTATTATTTTATTCAAAATTTTTATTAAACTTATATTTTATTTTATTAGATCTTTTAGTTTTTTTATTAATTACAAATTTTAAACAGTTTTTTTAAAACAGTTTCAAATAATTTTCATATTTACATATTTAAAATTTGTAATTATTTTTATTTGTTTAATTTTTTAAATAATTATAACTAACTTTGATAATTTTACTTACTCAATTCTCTTTCTATAAAGGAAGTTACTCATTTTAAGAAACATATAGTCACCAATTCTGTCAAGTTTTTCTGGAGCAGATAAAGCATAAAAAATTAATTTCTCCATATTAGACTTCACTAAACCATGGCTTGAATCTGGTGGAAAGACCATATCAACAAGTCGCTTGTATCGTGGGCGCACATTACAAAAACAACTACAAACACTGGACGTAGCCATATTAATGAACTTTTTGACTATGCTTCATGTGCTAAATATGCTATTAAAATGAAAGAACAAGACTAATAAAACATTGTGTAGTAAATAAGTTCACTGAACAATTAATGATTTAATCAAGTGCATTTATTTGATTCATAATTAATAATATAATGATTCTTAATCAGAAACTGGAAGTAGAAAAAAGTTATAGCTCAGACTCATGAGTCGGGTCTATAACATTTTCAAAAAAAAATGAAAACATTTCCAATTAAATGTTTATTTAATATAACTTGATTGTTTATGTTATTTAACTATTTGTATCTAATAGATATAAATAGTTATATATTAGTGTAGGTCACATAGTTATATATTAGTGTAGGTCAAATAGTTATATATTAGTATAGGTTTTGAGTTATATAAAGTTGTTTAACAATTAAACTTGGTTTAAATTTCAAAACTACGAACAACCATATGTAAATGTGCAGTTAATACAATAAAGCGGCGTCATTGTCTTAAAATCTAATTTTTTCAAAAAACCATGATAATATAAGTAAAATGAAGAATAGTATAAGTTTATATATATATATTATATATATATAAACTTATATATAAACTTTTAAAAATATATTTATATTATATATACTTTTTTAACTATTAAGGAAAAAAATATTTCCGTATAACTTAGCAATTCCAAAGTGGATTTTAAAATGCGCATAATATGCATGATAAGTCGGCGTAGTTGAAGTAACTCTTCCGACATAATTAAGTCTTTTAAAATAATTATGGGGTGGCGATTATTAAGACTTGATTGTTAAGGATGATGGGTGCAATTTTTCAAACGTAATTAAACACTATAACATTCTAGAGTGATTAAACCTACTGATGAAATTTTTTTTGTAAAACATTACACAAGAATTATGGGTGACAACTGACAAAACTGCAAACATAGAGTATCAATCAATAAGAAGACGTTAACTTTCATTAACACTTTTGTTGAGCTTTTAAAATATTTTAATTGATCTTGTGTAAAAATTTTAAAGAACTTTTGTTTTATTATTATCAGATACCTAATAAACAGTAGATAACGTTTATTACTTTTAGAAAAAATTTCACATACCCCTTGTTTTTAAGCCACCCCTTCCTCCCTGTTAATTAACTATTACTTGTTACCAAGAAAGAAATTGTTGATCATTTCATAATTAAAAAATAGGCTAATACACTTTCAGTGTAAGCCAGCCATAACAATTTCTCATAAAGAAAATCTTATTCACTGATAATAATAAAAATAAAAATCGCACCCACGTGATTATTAGGTCCTACCCTTCATTTATGAGATTCGGACAAACTCCCACCCAATTTTTTTTAATACCAACCTTTTACGCATTTTACATTTATTTAAGGTAGGGAGATAAAAATTTATTTCTCAATATTCTTATATTTTCCTTTGGTTCTTATGTTTGTATTTAATATAAATCAACTAAATGTTTTTTGTTTTATGTTAAACTGTAAAATAAACAAAACCTTTATGCAACAAATTCCAATTTTCAATTAATTTTGTTCTAAATATTCTTGCCACTCTGCGGTGGAAAATTTTTAATCGTTTGACTTTTTTCTATAAGCTTAGTTTCGCCTTAAATAATTTATGGACGATCCCTTATCCTCTTCATCTATTTTATTTTTAAATTTGTCAAATATTGCTGCCGCTATCCAGCCGGCATTTGGTCCTAAAATGACGTCTTTTGAACGTTCAAAAGACGTTCAGAAACATTTGTAATTATCTATTAATAGTTTAACATTTAAATAACTTATTTAACATTTAAATAACTTATTTAACATTTAAATAACTTATTTAACATTTAAATAACTTATTTAACATTTAAATAAGTTATTTAGCATTTAAATAACATATTTAACATTTAAATAAGTTAATTAAATGTTAAATAACTTATTTATATTTAAATATACTTAATTGAAAAATAAGTTACATTTAAATAACTTATTTAAATATTTAAATAAGTTATTAAACATAAAAAAGTTCTTTTGTGTGACAAGGAGTTTCAAAAACAAACTTTAACTTTATTCAGCAAAACCTCTCGGGCATAGCTTTAATTTTTATTTAGTACTTTGAATTGACTTTTCAGTATCTTTCCTGAAAACATTAAAAAACATTAAAAGAACTCTAACCAACTTTCATTTAGCGTATAGCGTTTAACCAAGAAGTTCACTTCTTGTTCCTTACCAACAATAGTGCATAAATTTATGTATAATGCATAACTTTATATTTATAAATGGCCAGAGAAAACGGCTTTGAATCACAGACCTCCCGTTCTGAAACCAGAACTTATACCACTATACCACGGTTGCGTTAAAAACCGTGGTGTAAAGTTAGGTCTACAGTTTTTAAAGACCTAACTTTATGCATTTTTCTGAAAACATTATAAATAATAATATATTAATATGTGCTTTTATTACAACAGAATGTATATATTAATTATGCTGTCTAGTTTAGTATATGTTTTAAAGATTTTAGGAAACAAATAAATTATACTTTAAATACTTTAAATGTATTGTTTTTTTCAAATCTCAGCAAGACGTTTGGCACAGGTGATCATAGTATTAACTAAATTAAACTAAACTAAAAAATAATTCAAAAACGTCATAAAAGCAAACATGGCTTAGTTTAAAAGTTAATCATCCAATATATAACAATGTTTCATATAAAAGAATTTTTCATATAAAAGAATGTTCCTTATAAAAGAATGTTTCATACAAAACAATTTTTCATACAAAAATGAGAAACTAGTAATGCGACAGTCAATTGTTGCTCAAAGATATATATATATATATATATATATATATATATATATATATATATATATATATATATATATATATATATATATATATATATATATACACACACACACACACACACACATATATATATATATATATATATATATATATATATATATATATATATATATATATATATATATATATATATATATATAAAAGCTTGAGCAAGGGTTCAAAAACCTTATGCTCTATCCATAAAGTCGCTCTGAAGTAAAATCGAAAACAATCGCATCGGCAGTTGTGTTAAATGAAGTGATGACATTGCGAAAAAAAGAGAAAATCTTTAAGGAATATTTGATAATTAAGGAATGTTATAAAAAAATCATTATGAAGACGTGAAAAAAATATTATATAAATTTTATTCCAGTGAAGAAAAATGTACTAATATTTACGTCACGCATCCCAGCCGCACAACTCAGAAAACAGTTACGCTTGGTTTCTGTTGCGTTTTTAAAACCTTCTAAAACAAAAAGAATAACACGTATCCTAAATGGTTTTTATTCCGTGAAATTAACTATTACTATTTACCATAAATACCAGTTAAAGTATTAATGGTTTCACCTTTAAGGAAACGTAGTATTATATTTTAATAACTTTCCGTCAGGAATGTGAAACCACTGATAAAAATATGCGACATTTAAATTTGACTTTAAAACCTCAAAAATCACGTGTTAACCTGCCCGTAATATACACGTGCTTTTGGTTTACGCCTGGATCGTGAAAAACACGTGCCTATATAGGTTTTATTTCCGAAAAAGAAACTAGATGTGCCGATAGGGATTATTACGACAAGTTTCCTTTTTTTTTTTGGAACTGTAAATTGATTTGCAATAGGCTATTAGGTTATGCGAGAAAGTGGTAAGGTTAGCTGTACGAGTGCTAGAAAGATTGTATCACGTAAAAAAGTGGTTATAAAAGAGTTAAGGAAGATCCTACCTCGTGAAGAAGTAAGATTGTATTAAGAAAGATTGCATCACGTGAAGAAGCGATTATAAAGTGTTAAGAGATCATGCGAAGAAGTTGATATAAAAGAACCAACGATTGATAATAAAAGTCTTGAAAATCTGTTGTGTTTGAAATTGTTCAAACAAAAACATAATGTAAAGTAATGTAAAGATTTATCTTAATCACTATTTACTTTTTTTGACTTTTAAATTTGAATTCTCGCCAAACTGTTTATAATAAAGTATAGATAACTTCTATACGGAATTTATGTCGCTTATTATTGCTAAATTTTGACATGCTTATAAACGTACAAGCATTATAAACATATAATGATATCACAAATTATTCATTTAACATTGCTTAAACCATTTAACTAAAAGAGTTACTTACTCAACAATAATTTATTATTTACTAAAGCCTAATTAGGTACTTAGAAATAAAAGTTTACATTGTAATTAAAACTCGAATGTAAAAAAATAATTGAAACAATTTTTTTAAAGGTTTTTTTAATGTTTACGTTTTTAGAACAATTCACGGCTTCTCCCATTTCGAAAGGGGTGATAACATTACAATCACGTGACAACCTCGACCTAATCCATTTTTGTTATCACAAATTTATTCAATTTCTGTAAGGGTTCGCCCATAAATTAATTCACGCTTTAGGGGGAAAGGAGTATGTAATTTTGTGAATGTTTAGTATGAGGGGGAGGGGGTCTGCGATTTTGTGACGCAACATTTTTCTTTTTTAAGTTTTAAATCTAGAGAAAACTTTCTTTTAATTAAAAGAGTATCTGACCAAACCACAACCCTCAATTGATGTATCTGCATGTTGATTGTTAATCTACTGAGCCTAAATCTTACTTAGTCGGTGTGTACACTCCGTTAACGGAGTAGTTACAGCCTAAAAATACAATCTAATTTAAATATGATATATCAAATTCCATTATATTTAGTTTAAATTAAAAAATCGACGAGGAAACATTTTTTTAAATATCATAACTGTTGTGGTCAACAAAAAATAATGTTTGAGTTCGCAAAAAAGTTGGCATTTTACCGTTTTGCAGTTTGCGGTTTGCAGTTGCATTTTACCGACTACCTATAACTGTAACTTTATTACCATCACTATCAATATTATTTGCCACAACTTTAGATCAGATCATTTATTACTAAATATTCGGATATATAGCAGAATTAAAATTAAAGAATTGCAAAATTGCCTTGTGCAGCAATGACAACAAGGAGTATGTCGAATTGTTGTATCTTCAGTTCACCAACAGACTAACCCAGCAAA